GGGAAGCCAGAATTGGGGAAACGCGAATAATAAGAGAGGCAAAAAAGAGCTGCAGACAGAATCATGGGAACATCTGCAAGGGTGATCATCTTCTGGAAAAAGCCGTTCACATCTGCATGCGTGTTAGAGAATTACAACTGGAACGACTGACGAGTGGCGCTGGGAGACGACAGGGAATTCATCTCCGTCTGTATGAGATTCACATCTGTTCAAGACGGTCATTTTGATGACCTTACTTTAATGCAAAAAAACTTTGCACCTATCACCTTTCCAAGCTTTTGAAAAAATATATTGTAACTTTTCCTCATTTGTTGTATGACAGCATTAAAAATAACTTAAGGGTACCGCTGTCTATGAGTCATCTTAATATCATGCTTTGTATATATGAATTCTGACAATAACCATTGGATGAATATATTATTATCTTCATTTTAAATATAAACTGACCCTCAGACAGTTTAACTTGCTCAGGAGGGGTCTGATCTTTGACCTAGTGCATGGAGCACTAGGTATTAGGTATTTTAGGAAAGGGTCATTTTTAGTACCATCAAGAAAAGAAGAGGTTCAAATACAAATATAACGCACAGTGGATTGAGAACACACTGGGAAAACTTCGAGGGAGACATAAAACATCTTTCTGTAGGTCGCTGAACAAGATAAATTAGTTCTCTGATTAAAAGACTGTCCATATTCTCTTCCAGCCCTGGATTCTAAGAATCTGTATTTGTGCTATGACATGATTTTTTTTAAGTGTCAGGTTTCTAATGGGAAATATCTCAGAGATCACCAGGAGGAGGCAGGGAAAACCAGTCCCTCTGCTTGGGGTATACAGCATCTAGCCACCCTCATGGCCTCTTAGCTCTGTGATGCGCACTGGGGTCCTCCTCGGGGCTCCCCACCATTGTCCACGCATTCGCTTCTGCCGTGGAAGATGGGAATATTTCCAACACGTAGGAGAGCGTGCTTCCCTCCTCCTTTTCAATGCAAATCCTGCACTTAAGGACAAGTTTCAAACTCCACATCCCACACAAGAACTTCCTGACTAACCCCAACCTACAATGATCTGACCTGTTCTTTGAAATCTTACATCCCTTCTTAAGTCTTTTGACTCTATTACCTAGCACTTAATTAATATCATTTTATATACTTTCTTAATTGCTTTATGAAAATTGCTTTCCCAGCAAGTTTACAAGATTCTTTTTCTATCTCAAAAATGGGGCACAGACTAGGTCCTTAATTCATGCTTATCAGTTAACAGGTAACCATGGCCAAGGTCATTGCCATTCCAATCTCATTATTTAGAGATGATTCCATGGAGGATGACCTGGAGTTGCTGGTATCAGTAGATACAGCAGAGGATTAAAATAATAAAATCATAAGAGCAAGCTTAACTTAATTTAGGATCTATTTCTAAAGTAAGAGAGCCATGATCCCAAGAGTTTCCAATGAGAAAGATGAGGTAGAAGGAAACTGAAGAGATGACATAATGTTGCACAATAGTGGTCGTGTGGGCATGTGGGCACAAGAGGCTGACACTCCAGCCTCCTCCTGTCCCACTGGAGCCGTGGGGCCAGTCTTCTCTGCTGCTCCACAGCACGGTCCGAATGCACGCCCCTGCCTACTGCTCTGTGCCCTTTGATTAGTTCCAGCTCGCCCTGAAGGAACTGTGACATTTCAGTGGTGGGTGAGGCTACTCCTCTGTAAAAAGTGTATCTGTTGGGAATGTAGTTTTTGGAAGAAAGACACTATTTAAAAAGAAGAACACTATTCCTTTGACAGCCCCACAGAATGGGGCAAGTGAATTAGAAAGAGCAAATCAGGTCCAAGCTGCCGTCAAGCGCTGGGAGGCTCCGAAGTGCAGCCGCACATTTGAAGCTGGTCGCCATATTCTGCCATCGCCGATTCTACCATTTGGGTAGGAATACACTGGTAGGAATTGACTATAACATAGTCAAGGAATGTTTTCCTTGGAATGTGGAGAAGGAAGTATAATGAGGAGCAGGTTTGTTGGAGAAGAAATTCTTTTAGAATGGCTTTTGGGACAACACATTCTGAGAGGAAAACTTTTGGCGTCAAGTGTAAGCAAGTAGGAAGGGTGTTTTTGTAATGAGCCAAAATTTCATGTAGACAGCTAACAACTTGGCTTATGGGCTAATAGACAGACACAGGCAGTTATGTACCTAGACAATAAGGTAAGAGTCCCTGCCTTATTAGTTCATTGAAGAGCCTAAAATACTAGAGGCAGAGGAAATAAATGACCTATTCAGAACCACTAGGGTTTATCAAACTAGAAATTACTCCAAACTAGGCAGTTTCTCCAAGGAAGAGATATACAGAGGAAGCAGTGCTCAGGCCTTAGTGTGGACTTGTATCTCGAGTCTGCCCAGGGTTGGGCTGGCTTCCAGGAGGAAGGTTCACAAGGCCACTTTTGTTTGGGTTTTCCTCGTTATACTATATAAACTCCTGAAATAACCTGATATTTTTTTCATATCACCTAATTTTGCTTCTCTGAAAATAGTGTGTTTTTGGGGATATGTAGTCAATGTGAAATCTTTCAATCCACCTTCTCTTTGCCTTTAGGAAGTTGAGCAGTACAACTATTAAAGCAGAAAATGCCTTGCATTAAAAGAAAGTAGGCTACTTTCTTTTCATTTTGATCACTGTAAAAATAAGGAAATTAGTAAATATTGAGAACGAGTATCATTTTTAAAGGAGCTTTTACCAGTCTAAAACCAAACAAACAACCCGGCCCCTTTCTTCTGTTTTAGGAGCCCTGTGCTTAGCACCACAGGTCTCTGAGCAGGATGGGTAAAGCTTTTCTCCCCAGAGGGTTAAAAGCTTAGAACAAGTGGATAACAGTTGCTTTAGGAAGTTTGGGCCTTATACCATGTTCTCTCTTCACTTACTCCTTCAACCTCTGTTAGGAATAAAATCTGTTCAGCCAGGGGCAGGGTTTCCTCTAAGCTCAAACAACAAAATGGTCAGAGGGCAGAGCTAGTGAGAAGCAGGGAGCACCCGCCTGCTGGCAGAGGCCTCAGGATTTGTCCCCAGGGGCACCCTGCTGGGCCTGAGTAAGCCCTGTGTACCTCCGTGATGTGGCAAGTGTCATGGGACAAGCGGGGCGCCTACACTGTTGCTTCTCCAAAGCTGAGTGAGAAAGAGCTGTGCTCAGCAGTGAGTGCAAAGGGCCTGCGACCCAGCAGAGTAACCGAATTGAGGATCAGGAATATGTCTATGAAGAGGACTCAGAACTCGCCCAGTGGTAAGGGTGGCAAAAGAGAAATAAGAAGAGAATTACTGACTGTCTTGGAAACACAATTCTAACACTGTAACATCTAATTAATTTGGGGAACTTCTAATTTAAATTTAAGAGCATAAGTTAATGTTGACTCTACCAGTGAAATTTCCATGCTTGCTAGCAGAATTCAGCATTTCACCTCACGATAATTTGTAGGCTCTTCAGAGAGGGTTATCCTGCTCATGAAAAGCCAAGTGAAATTCCAGGTTGAAAGATTCGGCTTTTGCGTGGATTGCAAAACCTTGCCCCTGGAGCCCAGTGAATATGTTACCATAGTGAGGAAATTATTTTGGTCTATTCCAGTTGGAATCTCACAGGGCTCGAGCTCTGCGGGGAAGAATTACATCCTCTCAGCTCCTCTAAGAAAGCGTATTTCATTCTGCCAAAGAGAAACCCCAGAGGTTAGGGCAAGACTCTCCCGACTGCTGGGCGGGTTTAGCAGCTGAGTCATTTCACTTAGCCATGGAGCTGGGAGACAAGTTGTCCTCAGGACCAAACCTTACTAGGTGCTGGGGGAAACAACGCGACAGTCTCCCCCATCCTTTACAATCCCAGCCCAAATGCTGGAAGTTAAAACTGCAGACGTCAGCCTCTGGTGAGAACAAATGGGGTTGAGCCGAGTCCGGCTTGCACCCCGAAAGCTGGGCTGCACCAGAGGGGGTGAGTTTGATTTTGATCAGCGAGAGCAGCGTGAGTCTTTCTGGTGTGAAAGCTGAGAATGCACCACCTTCCCGATGGTCTTTTATACTCCAAAGAGGCAGACAGAATGTTCTTTGGAGTTTTCTGCTGTTCTTGAATTATCTTACATTTTTCAGCTTGGCCATTCAATGGTGTTTCTAATGACTCGGAATTTAAGGGGTTGAGCTAATAAAAATTAGTTTGGTTTTGAATGAGTTTTCTAAATAATTAATAACAAAGCTGCCCTTTTATATATATTATCAAGGACGGAAAGTCAGGTTCTGATAGCGGCAGTTATTTTAAATTGCATTAACAAGTCTGACGGGGTCCTGAACAAACAGAAAAAAAGGGTTTTGAGAGATTTCTTTATTTTTCTGTGACCCTAGGCGCCAATGTTGTGAAGAAAAGTTGTTCTTATTCATAATTCATATTATACCTTCTATTATAGCCACCGTTACAGCTGAATTGTGTTCCCTCCGACTCCAAATTCGTATGTTGAAGTCATAACCCCTACCTAGTCCCTGAGGCTGTGATATTATCTGGAAATAGGGTTGTTGCAGATATAATTAGTTAAGAGGAGGGTGTATTGGAGTAGGGCGGCCCCTAATCCAGTATGACAGGGATCCTGATAAAAGGGGAAATGTGGACACAGACAAGCACACCGGGAGAGCGCCCGGTGAAGATGAGGGCAGAGGTCAGGGTGATGCGTCCACAAGCCAAGGGACGCTGAGGATTGCTGGCAGCAACCAGAAGCCGGCAGGGAGGCATGGGACAGACTCTCCCGCACAGCCAGCAGAAGGAACCGACCCTGCCAGCACCCGAGTTTGGACTTCTAGCCTGCAGGACTCTGAGGCAGTTTCTGTTGCTTCAGCCCTTCGGGTTGCGGCGCTCTGTCAGGGCGGCCCTAGCCAACAAACCCACGTAGAAAGAAATGGTTGCTATCTATCAAGACCTACTTATTTTGTAGAGCAGATTCTTTCACAATGGTATTAGCCCAAAAAGGAAAAAATAGTTTGGTTCTTACCGTCAGTTCTTGGGGAACAGGATTTGGCTTCTTTATGTTGATCTCGATGCTCTTGTTGTCTTGGTTCAGCTCCACTGGGGACTCATGCACCCTGGCCACACCTTCAAACATCTGGGATTTGGTTAAGGAGGGGGTGAGTGCATGCGCGGCGCCCTCGCGTCCCTTCTCCTCCTCGTCGCCATGGACCGTTTCTCCGTTCATGCTGACTTTCCCGTCTACCTATAAAAACCCAAATGAACAAAAAACATGCTATTCCCCAAAGAAAGACTAACAAGCACCACATTCAAAATCATCTTTAAACATTATCATTTGATAATCATAGTCTAACAACAGCTCTCATGTGCTTTGGTGGGTTCTAGACATGAGGGCTCCCATAAAGGTTATCTCTGAGGGTCCCTTTAAAAAGTTCTTTGCCATCTCAGGCCACTTCACATTAAATTACATTTCATATTCCCCTTACTTAGGGTATGCTTTTATTTTAAAATATAGAAAAGCAAGGAAACTTGTGTATAAATACATGCCACATATTTGGGTTCTGGTAATTTTTCACTTAAGTGCTGACTGTTATTCTACAATTCTGAGTTTTGTTTTGTTTTGTTTTTACTGGTTAGCATATAAATGAGGTAGAACCCACCTCAGATCAGGAATATTTTACAGGTGATTCTGTGGGGGTTGGAAACTGGGTATGCTTTTGACACTATCATGGATGGCAGGGAACTTAAAGCTTGCTATGTTACCGTAAAGCCCTCCTTCTAGTTAATTTTATAATCCCTTCTTTTTCCAAGGAAAAAGTCTATGCACATTAAGTTATTTTTGTTTGGCCCTGGCTGGTATGGCTCAGTGGATTGAGCACTGGCCTGTGAATCAAAAAGTTGCTGGTTCAATCCCCAGTCCGGGCACATGCCTGGGTTGTGGGCCAGGTCCCCAGTCGGGGAGCATGTAAGAGACAACCTATCAATGTATCTCTCACATGTTTCTCTCCCTCTCTTTCTTACTCCCTTCCCCTCTCTCTAAAAGTAAACAAATAAAATCTTCAGAAATATATTTTTGTTTTATACCTATGTCTAGAGAAGGCAGTGAGAGCAAGAAAGGAGGAGCAGAGAGAGTTTCAATAGTCTGGCTTTTTAACGGCATCCAGAAATCCTGTCTTGAAGTCTGTGGCAGTACGTAAAATAATTACGAGAGGAAGCTCTGTAGTTCCACGGCCTCAGAGTGAGTCCTGGCTCTCCAGCTTACTAGCCATGTCATCTTCAACCTCAGTTCCTCACCTGCAAAATGTATAATAATGGTATCTCCTTGACAGTGCTCTTATGGTGATTTTATGGATTAATATGTGTACAGAGTTTGGAATAGTACCTGACCCATTTTAAGTATGTAAATATTACTTATTATTATTGCTAGTAATGGAAGGTCAGATATTAGTTATACTTTATGTACCTAGGCTGGTGGCTTGCAACCTCTATTGTTTGTCATCCATAAGGAAGAAATTTAAATCACAATTAAGCACACACAAATATAACTGAAACCAGAGTTCCGAAAAACAGTATTTACCTTTATTGTGTGTGATATACTAAGCATTTTAAAAATTGAATTCTGTTCTACTGCATTTTTTTTTAAATGTGGATTCTAAACCACCAAAGTGATTTCATAACCTAGGAACAGTTGATAACTGTTTGAAAAATGCTGCCTTAAACTATTTCACTTGATCTTCCTTTATTCTTCATTCTGCTGTACTGGGAAACTGAGCCCATATTCCCCGCCTCCCAACTCCACCCCCCAGGCCCCCCACACACTCACCCCCCCACCCACCCACCCCTTAGCTTCTGTCCTGGTAACAACTGTTCATTCACCTACTACCCTTGACCACAGGTGGGGCCACCCACTCAGGGGTGGGGCTGAGAGTAAGGCTGAGAGCCTTCGAGGCCCTGATGAGTCAAGGGCTCATTGGTGGTCAGGAGTGAGTCCCAGCATGAAAAGGGCCTCTACTCCAGTGGCTCAACCCACCTCTCCACGAATTCTCTTCCTGAGGCCTCTACACCGTCTTTGCCTCCATAGTCAGGAGCCGCATTTTCTCAGGGCCTAAGTCTTGCTGTGAAGTCATCTACCCTAATTCTTTTCAATGATTATACTGCACTGTTTACATAAATGAGGGGAAGTGGACATCAAGATTATCTGATCAGATGCCTTGGATACCAAGCTAAACAAATGTATTCCCTACTCCTCTCCGGAGTCACCCCAACATCAAACCTTCCTTCATGAAATATTACAGGCAGTTCTCTGCCATGGATCTCAGGTGAAGGAGGGCCAGGCCGTACCTGGGCGAGCTGCCGAGCACATAGGGGCTCGTGCATATCTGTGTGTGCGTGAGTCTGCATGATGACTCACGTCAGGAAAAATTCACGTATTTATTCAATAAACACTTGCTGACTGCCTACTGTGTCCTGAGCACCTATGCCAGGCTCTCAGGACAAAGCTCTGAACAACAAAGACACAGCCCTGGCCCTTCAAGGGACAAACATCTCAATTCATCCCAGATGAGACAGGCTTGACATTTTTCTCTTGTTTTATCAAAGCCTAAGGCACAGATTTTAAAGATATATTCAGAGTTATTTCAGCAGAAGTCAGGAAGTGTGGTTTGGTTCCCTCTGAAATTCAATAGAAAGATACCAGGCATCACATTGCTCAATTAGTTTGCTTAAGCAAACTTTTTTACAGCTACATGTCCATGTCTGCCAGTGATGAATTCCACCTCTGTCTTCTATTACAGACCCATGTGGTGTGCAGGGACAACGAGAACTGATTTTTCTTTGTAGTCAACCGAGCTTAACACAAAGGATGAGTGCCTCCTCATAATGTGAGGGAAAATACTGGAATTTGAGAAAGTGAAAAGATGTTTGGTTGTCATAGGTTAGTTCTGAAACATTATTTTACACATATGTTGGTAAAAGGATAACCTAGTTTCTTTCCACTTAAAAATATTTCAAAAATCTGTTTCATTTGAGGACTAAGAACATCCTGTATTTCCATATGTTCCCTATATTTTTTTCAACTGTTGCCATATTTTCAGACATAATGTCAATTACTTTTTAAAAGAGAAAGATGTATACACTTCTGTTTGAACAATGGCAATTAAATATTTTTTTTGAAGAGCTTGCAATACCTCCAGATAGTTGGAGATACCTAGGGTATTACTAAATTAGGGTTTACGACCACAAATATAGAGACCATGCCATTGTATCAAATGAGAAAAGAGACTGCTCATGGAAATGACTCAACCATCAATCTCATTGGAGCCCATCAATATTAACAGCAGGAACTGAGGGAATCCACCTCTCCCTCACCATTTACAAACTGAATCTTGGAGACATATAAACTTGGCAATTGTAAATGTTAGCAGTTTGCTTTTGTTTGCATTTCCTTTTTCAGACAAAAGAAAATAACTGCATTTTCTTGAGGCAAAATGCTTCTTTCCACGAACTCCCCGGAGTTCAATTTTGGCTCTACTCAAGGAACTCAGCCTACCTTAAAGGTCTTCAGAACCTCTTGAGAGTTTTTGGGCTGGGAGTAAGGCTTGGGTGTCAGCATAGGCACTGCTTTGGGAGTGACAGTTTTGCTCGGAGACCCACTGCCTGCTGATGTGCTGGTATCCAGAATATTGGTACGAGCGATGGTGGTTTCCACAGTGGCAGTGAATTTGGGTGGAGGCAGTGACTGTTGCCGCAGGTATTTCATGGGGTTGGGGTCGTTCGGGAAGGGGGATAAATTTGGCTCTGTTGAATGGCTTCTTTCCAGGATTTTTGGCATCTCCAAGCGTTCAAGAACAGCCTCGCTGATGGTGAATCTCTCGATGTACTGTTGAAGGATGCCCTCCGCCTCCTCCTGGGACCGCGCGTTCTTATACGCCTCATGCAACTCCCTCTCTCTCCGCTCTCTAAAGCATGGGCATGGGACAGAGAAGCAATACCAAAGTCAGCAACAGTCACAAAAATGGCAAAGACGACCTCGGCAGGAACCAAGGCGGAGCTGAAGGGACAGCACAGGGAGTGTGTAATAATGGTGTCAGAGCCTTTGTGATAACCAACAACTTTTAGAAAAAAGCACATCTAGATAATATTGCACATTAAGTAATAACAACAGAAAGAACCCACTTTTCCTGAACAATTTCTCTGTAGGTTTTGATGCTTTTCCTTCGTTCACTTGTCCCATCCTCTCCAGCCAGTAACTTCTCCATTTTTTTCCTTTCTTCCTCCTTCTTGATTAAGTCCTGAGAAGCACTTCTTCTACGGCTCTTCCAACGAGCCAGGTCCTGTGGGGGTGGATTGGGCAGAGACAGAACATGCTTTTTCAGGATGGCACATAATTCCATTTCTACTTTTCAGAGTTTGGTGAGCACTGACTATGGTCAGGCACTGTGCTAGGGCATTCCTGCCCGCTCTCATCTGAGTCTGGTTGGAACAGGAATGGCTCCAAGGCAGGAAACCTTCCAGAGCAGGGCAGCACATTTATTTAAATGGGGCAATGAATATGAAATTTGCAATCATATTCCATGTCAGTTGCCAAATTTTAAAATGTTGCCTCACAGGGGATTGCAAGAAACTTCATTTCTTGCTCTGTATGACTTCTGCATTGTGACTGGACTTGTTGACAATATGAGGTTGGGATCAACCACAGACCTACACAGTGTCCTCAGGGAAGGAAGAAAACGTAGAAAAAATGGGCTTTGGGGTCTCACAGAATCAATGATTCTATACAGATTAATTCCACTGATCTTTACAACAATCTCACCCCGAATCCTACAGGCAGTTGTAGCATAAGGGTGAAGAGTTAGGATTCTGGAGTCAGATGGGGGGGCTACCAGCTTGGGAAATGACCCTGGCTCTGTCTCTCCTCTGCTCTGGAATCACAGGCCCAGTTCTCAGCCTGTCTGTACCTCAGCGTCTTTATCTCTAAAATGGGGATGATAATAATACCTACTCTTACAAGCCTTTTGTGAGGGTTAAAGGAGATAGTGCGTATAAGGTACCAGGCACATAGTAAGCGCTCAATATACTGTAGACATAATTACTAGTACACTTTTATCAACTTTGGAGAAGTTACTTTTTTACACTACTGGTAGAATCACGTTCCAGTTGTTACCTCAGAGTGTTCTGTGAAGATTAAATGAACTAAGTAGCTCTCCCTCCTCTCCTCCCTGTCTTTAAGCTCTTCCCGGACCCTAGCGCCTGGCTCTTAGCACTCACGCAATGTCAAGGCCCCTACCAGACTCTGGAGCCTTCCTTTCCTAGCCCTGTTGCTGTGTGACTTTGGGCAAGTGACTTAGCTGTTCTGGGGCTCACCTGTGGAACTGAGGACAATAATAGTTGCCAGCTCATTGCGTTACTAAAAGGATTAAAGAGAATTATTACATGCACGGCACTTAGAATAGCGCCTGTTAACTGGTATGCTTTCAGTGTTCGCAATTTTACCATAGTCATCACCTTCACTAATTTCAAATATATAATCTCAGGACAGTGCCTCCTCAATTCTCCATCTCATGCTAGTCGCCCCTCCCCTCAGCTCCCCGCGCCCCCCCCCCGCCCCCGCCCCGCAACTCCCTGGGTTGTGTGGCCAACCTTCTAGCAGATACTTGCAGATTATTTGTCTGTGTCATTCACTCCTCACCCTTCATGCTGCTATTAACCTTCCTTTAATTCCCGCATTTACTGTGTCACTGTTTGAAATCCTCTAGGGGCTCCCTTCCCCTGCACGTCTTTCAAGTCCAGGTCTGCCCACCCCACCGGATCTTCTGGTCCAAACAGCCTCTAACCCACGGTGCCGGGCAGCCTCCCCACTGCCCGCGGCCTTGGCCGGCACTCACATCTTGCCATTTGTCGTCCTCTTCCCGCAGCTGGTTATTTATCAGTTGCAGCTGCTCCTGGCGGGCCCTGCTGTGCGGCTGCACTGCAGCCTCCTCCTCACATCGCATGTCAAACATACTCGTGCTCCTGAGCGTGGAGAGAGCAGAGACAAAAACGGACCAAGATCAGCGCCCGTTGTCTGTGCGCGCTCGGGGCCGTTCTGCCGCGTGGGGGCGCTACCGCGTTCCGAAGACTGTCCCGCGCCCCCCGCCCCCCTCCTCAACTAGCAGCGTGCACGCCCGCACCCCCACCTCTTTTCCTGCAGCAAAAACCAAAATGTGACCATCTTTGTCTTCAGTGATGGCTGCATCAGGTCAATATAATTTCACACATAGGTGCCAAAGTATGTTTGTAGAAGAGCTAGAAAAGGTTTATGGCGCTCTGAGCTCCTCTAATTTGGAAATGTATTTGAAAATTAAAAAAGAGAATTAAAAGGTTTAATTTGGGGAAGGTTTGTGGAGAAGGAGGGTGGTGTTCCATGAAGTGAAACTTTATTACAGTAAATGCTTCTTTGTGTAAAGACCTGGCTTAAATGTTTTCTACATTAACTGACTCAATCTCTCCATTTCCATTTTTTAAAAAGATTTTTATTTATTTATTTTTAGAGAAGGGGAAGGGAGGGAGAGAACATCAGTGTGTGGTTGCCTGTAGTGTGCCCACTACTGAGGACCTGGCCCTCATCCCAGGCATGTGCTCTGACTGGGAATCGAACCTGCCACATTTTGGTTTGCAGGCCGGAGCTCAATCCACTGAGCCACACCAGACAGGACTAATCTCTCCATTTTCAAAAAAAAAAAAAAAAAAATCGTATGGCTTTAAGACTAAGACACCCATCTTTTCATATTGTACTATTTTCTGATTTTTGGATGCATCCAACAACTATGCATTAGTGATGCATATATTTGATATGGTTATTTCTATTTCCTATAAAACTGTAAATCAATACTGCAGTTGATGACATCTTAGAATAAAAAATAAGGTATTTTATATTAAGATTAAGGAATAAAATATATAAATCACTATATACTTTGTATCTTAATACTCTTACAATCATTTTACTTTATTTTTTATCAGGATACCTCTGAATTTACTCTTTCAAAAGAAAAATATAGGGGAAACAATTTTAAGCCTTCAGGCTCTATCTATAATTGATATATTCTATAGGAGCTTACTAAATGGTGGGCAAGACCATAAGGCTTTTTTTTTATAATGCTTACATAAAAGGCTTAAGTAGCAAGATGAAAACAAATTTAAAAACCAAAGGAGAATCCTCCCTTCTTTTCTCTCTCTCTCTCTCTCTCTCTCTCTCTCTCTCAAAGACATGATGAGTTCTGGGATGAAGTGGGTTATGTAGCCCCAAAATCAAGAAATGGAGGGCTCTAAGATCAGAAGACTACAATAGTCCATTTTTGAAGTCAGCTTAACACAAAGAAAAAGAGAGCCATGCACTTGGACACCAATGCCAGACGCCAGCAGTGACGTCCAAAATAGTTATCGCCAAGGCTGGACAGTGAACAGCGGCAGCGTCACTGGATGCTACTGGGTCCCTCAGCAGGCACCTCTCTGGAGGGGAAAACGACCCCTAGGGCAGCGACTGCCCACCGTCACCTCAACCCACTCAAAGTGAATCTGCAAGGGTATGTAGGTGCCTCTCCCTTCTTTAGATGTTGGGACAATTTAGGTCTGACCTGAGAGAGCTAAAACTGAAGACTGTACTTGTAATCTCTTCCCCAAGGGTATTCTAATAATCTGACTGCATGAAAGAACTTTCATCTGAGGCTTCTTAGCTCACATACGACAGACCACGGAGTGAGGCCGCCTTGACACGTCAGTGGGTAGCGCTGGTTGTGGGTGCCGTGCCTTCTAGACCCACTGTAGTCCTCACAAGGCAGGAGGGGCTGCGACTTTTCACTTAGTTTATATTATTTATTAATGTTTAGGAAAGAGTCAGGAATTTGCAGAGTTAGATAGAAAAGGCTAATCCATGTTTTTTGAACCTCTTGGATCAAAATTCACTTAAGTAGGCTTTCCAGAAAGGGACTAAAATTCATCCCATTCCTTCTCTGAGTTTAAAAAAAAAACTTCCCTTTAAATATATTCAATTCAGTCAGTTCATCTTTTAAGGCAATTCAGTGTTTGTGAAGATCTTAGAAGGTAAAAATCTTTCTGAGCTGGGACTTTCTTGCAATCTCTTCAGTAGCTGGCAGTTAGTGGGAGAGAAAGAAGGTCCCTTCCTTTGACTTCGCCATCTACATAATCTCTAAAGGGCAGAATTTTGATGTAGGGCACAGTGGCTGGCCATACAGCTAGGTTTTCTTCTGGGACCCCAGAAAGGAAGTGGCAGCCTTCCCCAAAATTGGGAATTAGCTATCTCACTTGACAGACAGGAGGAGGACAAGAGCAAGGCCTTTGGATCTGGCTTCTGGCCTGAGCTCCTAGCTCCATCCTATCATGAAGTTCTATCTGCCTCAGCCAAACATGGCCAAATGCTGACTGGTGAAATCAAAAGAGAAACTTTTATGTGCCCTCTCATATACCAGGAAGTACTATTTTTCCCAGAGTTGTTATTTTTTTAAAGAAATACCAGCAAAGTGACCAAAAATGAAACCGAAAAAAAACCCCCCAAAAAACTATGAGCAATATGTTCAGGCCATTAAAAAAGAAAAAGGAACTAAGCAAGTTGAGAAGGAAAATGCTAGACAGAAAATAGGCTGAGTCACCATTTGGAAAACATTCCCTAATTCAGAGGTTGTACTCGGCTTCCAAAATGAAGAAGTGTGCGTCTAAGGGTAGGGTGGGGAATCCTGAAGCAGCCCAGGTTTCAGAATGTTGATGTCGCTCACACTAAACATGTGCTTCGACACAATAAACTGCGCCCTGTGCCTGCTGGGCTAGGGACCCTGGCTGCAGAGCCTGGGAACCTCTTTTGGTGGTGGGTCGGCATTTTTGAGGACCAGGATTAAATTACCTCAAGGGGAGCCTGGAAATTGTTTCTTGGCCAAGTCCAAGGTAAGGGAGTTAAGGATAAGACGGCCTATGGCCCTTGCAGCGTACGGGCTCCGTTGGTGGGGAGAGTGTTGGGAGAGGAGGAGTGGACAAGTGAGGAAAAGGGCAAGAAGGTGAAACTAAACCTACGGAAACATTCTTGGCCTGCCAGGAGGTGGAAATTTCTGTTTGCTTGTGCGGTAGGTCTGCCCCTGACCTGCATTTGCCTTAAAGGGCACATCTTTTTTTGATTGGGCTGTATTTTAAGACTCTGTCAATTATGAATAAATAGAGTCCATGCCAATAATTGCCCTTAAAGATTTTGAGAAAGGGAGATAATGAGGTAATAAATTAAACATTCTATGACATTCTACTTAAAAAATAAACTCCTGATATAAACTTTTCATTTCGTCCCTTACATGGTTCATGTAAATTGTGTCTACTCCAAGAAGAACATGTGGCACTTTTGATATTCCTAGATAAGATGTCTGGAAAATAAGCTGTTTCTACTCTTCTTATTCCATGAGGCTGCTTTTTTGTAAATTTGGAGAAGGAGTAAAGGGAGTCCCCAACCCCACTCCCTTAAAAAAAAATCAGTAACTTCTCTTGTGGGTGAGCTTTCCCATTCAGGTACAGGCAAAATCCAGAAGCTCTTTAATAGAGCTCTTTTATCTCAGGCAAATTGCACGGTGTCATTGAGCTGATGAAGAATAAATCCATTCTATCAAAATATTTTTTTAACCAAATGAAAGTCGTGTTTTTGCCTATCAATCTTACGTAATCCTCCTTTCAGTGAACGTTAAACATTGCCACTGCAGATTTTAAAAGTAATAACCAGGGCTCAATTTTATAGACTACTCAGCTCCATGCAGCGAATCAAGCTCAGGCTCACTTTAGTTTGGGTATTGGGATGTGAATGCTCTGTATGTCAGGCCACAAAGCCATCGGAGATCGTGCATTGAAAACTGATACCCTTGGTGCTCCAGTCAGACAGCCTAGAGCTTCGAGTACAAACTAGGCTGACATCTTGTGCATGAACACGGAGAAAGCATGATTTGAAAAGAATAAATTTTCGGCTCTCATTGCCACCAGTGGAGATGACAGTTGTGTGTTCTACACCGTTATTTGGGTTCCTCACGGTATGACTTGAATCGATGGCTCAGAGCAGGAAGCCGCGGGAGAGATGGTGGTGCTCACTCTCCTGCGCAGCCAGACTCCCAGGAGGCCACAGAGCGCCTCTCGCAGAGGAAAGGCATCAGGCTCAGTGGGCGGAATCAGGTCTTAATCATGTTTCTTAATATGCAAATCACTCCAATCTGAGGACGCTAGTATTCTACTAAGAAAACTTTGCCTTAGTTGTTTCAGGATGCTCTGTGCATAGAAAATCCATTGTTAAAATGAAATGAATGGGGTCACAAGTGGGAGAGTGTGAATTCTTCTCAAATTTGGAGGCGAGGCAGTCATGGGCAGTGAATCCAGGAGAGGAGTGGAGGCCAAGGGTCAGGGGGACAATGGCCAAATCCTGTTTCAAACCGTGGTGCCTCGCTGTGCACAGAACCTGACCAGAAGCCCACCACTGTGGTGTCAGGGGTCCCATGCTTTATATTACTCCAACCTGGAGGAACTTGGGCTTCTGAATCCATAATTACTGGGTTAGGATTTATTTTTCTTCATTTAAAAAAATGTGGCCATGACAATGACGGCTTCCTTGTTAACTCCAAGACTTAACATATCAAGGATTAAATGCAAATGCAGAATCTCGCTTTAATAATTCCATGGTTCCGAAGGGGTACCAACAGCCAAATGGTAACAAGAACGTTAACATGCCCCGTCTACGAAAAGCAAATGTTAAGTTTTAAGCAGCAGCTGCATATTAGAATCATGCTTCAGTTGCTTTTTCATTCACCTCTCCTGCACAGAACATATGTTCTGCATTCCAACTTCAAGTGCTTTTTGAAGCTGCACGAGTCGGTTAGCTATTCAGTTCACTGTTGCACCAATTGCATTTCCATTAGTGGTAAGTACTGAAGGCATGCAGTTTAGGCTAGTAATTAATGTATTCCTATGAATACAAGGCAACTTACTCTGCGTCATCAGACACAGGAGTTCTCGGACCGTATCTATAAGACCAAATACAAAATTAGAGGATTTGTAAGACAAGGTTAACGCTGTCACCAAGCTGAAAAGAAAAACTGCTGGTGAAATACCTGTGTGTCACACCATTTTTTGCTGATCATACTGGAAGAGACGTGTCATTATACAATTACCAATATTCATTAACTGCTGAAAATGAAAGAAACTTCTTGACAGCTCTAAAGAATGCAAAATGCAAAATGTGTATTAAAACACAAAGGAGAAATGAAAATATTCCCCACGCTACACACGCAAAGGAGAATTTGTTCAATATAATCATAGAAAGGCTTAGGTGCAACCCACAGTGTTTAGAGAAGGCAGCTTTAAGAAACCCAAACCTGCACTATGGTTGTTCACAAATAGTTAAACTGTTCATGCCTTATGTTCGGCTGTAATGGGCTGTAATGGACACCCAACATAGAAGCATGTGCATACTGGCCCTTCCCCTGACGTGTTAATGCATTTATGACATCAAAGAGCGTTTCTGCAGTTTTCTGAAAGCAAACCAGAACTCCAACCAGAACCCCAATCAGTGCCTTCTGCATGTATTTGACAAAAACCACAATTCCTAGAAAACTGGCAGCCTTAATCCAAAGCAGACTTGTTTGATATTCCATCACTTGAAACACCAAAGTTTTTTTTTTAACAATCTTTTATAGTCTTCTGATTATTTTGATCTACAAAGCTGTACCCTCTGCAATATAGGTACTTTAAGTTTTAATGCGTCTGATAAAGCAAAGGAAAAGGGCAAGTTGGAAAACAAAATTAGAACTCAGAAGGGCATATTTTAAGCACATTTTAAAAATGCAGCTCCGTCTTTCCTGCACAGGGGACTCTTAAGAGAAGGCGCTCCCCTCTTATTCTCTGTAAGGCTGTTCATTTATGCACTCTGATGGTGGATAAAGAATTATCTGAATAAAGAAAAAATTGTCCTGCTTTCAGTTCCCAATAAATTAAATTGTGGGGTTTTCAGCAAAAATTACCTGATCTCATGTTTAGTTTCATAACAGTTTACAGAGAAAAGAGTAATTAGTAAAGATCTCTTCCTATTCTCATAGAGAATAGGATACATGGAATAGGATGTATACTCAGGATACATGGATATACACACACATATACCCCTCTCTCATATGCTTTTACCATTGTAGAACAGTCTGCATTCATTGAAAATTATTTTCATTCATACTGAAGGCAACCACACCAGAGCAAAACCCAAAGTGTATGTTGACACGGCCCAAACTGAGGCAAGGAAAGGGTTTGTGGATGTTTCTCTTCTGGCAGTGAGACTCTTTTTCTGTTTCTCCAGGGGTAGTTTCAAAAGGTGGTAAAAGTAAACCTAATACACACAATTTTCAAAAAATACTACCATATTGAAGCAGATGATTGGTGGATTCCTGCACATCGAGAGAATGAATAAACAGAGTTAATTCTGAAGACTGGATAAATGTTTCCCAGTTAATTAATAGGCCTATTGGCATAGACTTATTCAAATATTGTGTGTTGTAAATTATCTGTGGAGGAGAGCCAAGAACTTATTCCTAATGAACGGTTAATCTGTTAACCAATTAGTGGTTGGTTATGTATTTTTGTGTCTCTATTTGAATATTTCTGTTAATGTTTGACTGAAGTATAACACACATACAGAAAGTGCGCGAACCACATCTACACCTCAATGATTTTTCACAAACCGAACACACCGTAAGTTAGCGTTGAGTGTTTTGTACTACGTGAATGACCCATGCACTGTGTACTCTTTTGAGTTTGGCTTCTTTAGCATATTTTGTTTGAGATTCAGTATGTTGTTGCTGTAGAATATGTTCGAATTTAAATTGCTTCTACACAAAATACAACATTCCACAAACATCTCTGCCAACAAATGCAGGGCATTTTCTCTTGGGGTTCCCTGAAGAATGACTACACAGGACCCTTGGTAAGAGTTTTAGTACTTCTTAGATGATCTGGAAATTGAAAAGAAAAGAGAAGCATAATCTCTGAAGACAAACTTAATTTATTCCTTTACTTGTGGATTAAGGAATTTCCTTTCCAACTAACGTATCAGCTTTAGGAGGACATCAGTATAAGCAGAACTGCCTTTACAATTAAGCAGAAGGTAATTAGAGTTTGGGGTTCAAACTGGTTTCCCAGTTGTCCTATGGGAAATAGAAATGTGAAGTTAAAAAATAATAAAGAGATTTTTAAATGCAAAATAGGTGAGTCAGTAGGCTACGAGGTACCAAATGGCCAGATAAATCACAGTTGGTATAAGCGTCTGAAAAAAAGGGCAATTAATAAAGTTCCATTGTGTGGGTAGGGGTGTTCAGAAAGATAAATGAAATATTCTATGCACCTATTGATTGCACTTCAGAATTAATAATTAGCAGGCTATATATTTCCATATTGTGAACTAACACAAGCTTCATTTGAAGTGAATAAATCTTAAAATAGATTTACTACTCATTTAAGATTATCCCCCAGCACCCAGCACAGTGTGTTTTACAGAGAGTAATAAATCCATAAATACTTGGTGAGAGGAAAATGAATTCCTGAGGTGTATGCCTGCTCAATCACACAATGACCTCACATAGTTAATCTGACTATATCTCCTTAAACTCAAACTAGCCAGTGCTTCCCGCTTGAATATAAAGAGGACTCCTTTTGAATCACAAATGGAGGGACAGGGAGAGTGATGAGGAATTCACCAGACTCCTACAGTCTCCTCTAGTAACCTGTGCAGCAATGCACCAGAGTGGGACGGTGGCTTTCGCCCAGACAGAGCTGGGTTTGAATCTCGGGTCTGTAATTAGCAGCTGGGCAGACATGGGTCTCCAGTTCCTAAATGCAGAATGTGGATGAAAATTCTTACTTTCAAAGGTTGTGTGAGTAGTAAGTAAGCAGGAAAGTGCCTAGAATGTAGGCGGCCGTAGGCCCTCCCTTCCTTCCTTTCATTCTAACTGGCTTTACCATAGATCCAAGGCCAAGGTACGTCAAGGGCACCAGCCCTAGCCATTTGATATCCAAGTGAGATCCACTCATTACTCCTGCATCGAGCATTCCATTTGTGAAATGGAGCTGACATCAATTCAACTACCTGTGAGTTCTCAGAAGGGGAGCTACATGGAGCAGACACCCCTTGAAATTGCTACGAAGTGCTCTCCAGCCACAGACCATGAATATTACCCATGTTCCCTGAAGCCAGTGGTGTTATAGTAAGGCTGTACTAAAGCATTGTTATTATCATTCAGAAGAATGTAAAACAGATTAAATTTAGAAGATAAAGATGGGCAGGACATTAATTTTAAAATTTTAGGATCACTTAAGGTTCTTCCCCACTCCACCCACTGTCTCATTACCATCAAGGTCCTTGGTGAAGCAGAACTCCATCACTTCCTGTTTCATAGTGGAACTTGTAATCATGCTAAACACTCCATACTCCTTTGCCCTACATTGATCAGGCAGTCCACAAATACATCACTGTTATTAAATAGCAACAGAAGGCTTATTATTTCCCGACTCCTCATTTTAAACCGTATTTTATTTATTCATTTTTACTTTCTTTAGAGTGAGTGGAAGGGAGGGAGAAAGAGAGGGGAGAGAAAGACAGAAACATCAATTGGCTGCCTCTCGTATGCATCCATAAGCACCTTATCAAGGATTGAACCTGCAACCCAGGCTCGTGCTCCCAAAAGGGAATTGAACCTGTGACCTTTTGGTTTGTGGAATGACATCTAACCAAGTGAGCCACACCCGCCAGGGCTCCCTACTCTTCAATTTAAATCAAGTCACAGCACAGAACACAACTCCCACATCTAGAAAACACTAAGTATTTTCTAATTTTGAAATTAAATTAAATTACAAATTTTATAAGTGGTATATATCTTCTTTGGACTGGAAGAACTTCCTAGAATCAGAGGGAAATCAAGTAGGTCAGGAAGAAGTTCAACCCCTTTACCCAGAGGCTCCTACATCAGCTAGGAAGAAACAGAAGTGCTTCTCATTTAGGGGGCCCACAGATGAGAGTCAAAAAGAATGCTTAACAGAAAAATTCACAACTGAACTATTCTTTCCACACCAGCTTACATGCAAGAAAAGAAAACAAATTCTTGGCAGCCTGGGCCAATTTTTAACACTCTGTTTCTGTAAGCAATAGCAGGTAAGCAGCACTGGTGGACCACAATGCATCAATAACATATTCAAAGCATATACGAAGGCTCAGAATGGTGAAACAGAGTCACAGTAAACAGGCCACGGATAATCTCCTGACCTCTTATCTTTCATTGATGGGCCCTTTGCAGATTCCTCCGCATCCTGTTGCTTTGCAAATGGAACTGGAAGGAACTGGTTTGGGTTGGATCCAATGTGTCTAAGGGGCATCCCAGTTCTCCTGGCCATGATGTCATCTTTTTGTGAATCATACAACTTTCTTTGATTTTTCAGTCTGCTGCCACTCCAGGCAGGAGCGGTCATTTTCTCTGAGAGCTCTTCTTTCCCTGAAGCCTCCCATTCAGAGGCCAGAGGACACGAACTAGGGCAACATTCAGTCCAGCCAATCAAAGTCCACTTATCACTAAAGATATTTTCAGTAGCGTCACTCACTTGGTATTAACTCAAGACAGAAGGAGCCAATGCTCACAGAGGCAGCAGCACACACAGCAATTGAGGATTAATACCGTGGGCCTCCATCATGCAACTGGTACTCACGTAGGAAGAGGTTCCCCTTTCTGGTTTTCATAATATCGGAGAAGAAAATCTGGCCAGCGCCCAACCACATGCAAAGGCTAAAATCTCTACCCAGAGGGGCGACTGAAAGCGCAACTCTGACCCTAGGATGGGCGCATTCCTCTATGTGACTTAACTCCACATCACATCAGTCACCAAGTGCATCCTGTGGCTCTAAGCTGCTTTTTGGGAACACAAAAGCCACACACAGCAGAGGCAGCACACCCTGGAATGCAGGCAAGATGCTCACAGTGGCTGGCCGCTCTCCTTGGATCTTTCAGCCTTTGGCGGCATCTCAGAGGCTCTTTGAGCACCTCCTTCTTTCTCTTCTTTGCCATCCTGTGGCAGCTGTTTGGATGTAACTAAAGCCAGAGAGGACAGCTTTACTACTAGGGAAGAATTCACACCAGAGGCCGCGACCCCACCTGTCATCCTTCACCTCCCACGGAGGGAGGAAACGTTGTTCCTCACCTTCCTCTTTCCCTGTTAGGCATGTGCCCAAACCGCCGACGGGCTCCTCCTGGGACTCCAGCACCGGAGCCCGCCGCGAGACCCTTCTGCATCCATCGTCTACGCCAGAATCCACTACGCTGTTGAGAATCAAGTAGCGTTGGTGTCAAGAGAGAAGACGAAAGAGAGTTATGAAGGGAGACAGTGGAGGCTGAAAGATTACGAGACGTCAGTTGCTCTCATTCCGGAAGCCAGTTAGTAAGAATGACGTATGCCAACTGAGCTAATGCAACAGGAACCCTGGCAAGGGCCTGCAAAGTCAAAGATGGTTGGGATGACTGCCACCAGGGGGTTGAGGGATGGCCTCCTCAGTAGTCAAGGACTCAAAGATGCATTTCCCATTAATTACTTACTCCCACTCTTCCATCCCAGGTCCCCGCCAGTTTCGGAAACCCCAACTGTGGATTCCTGGTATACTAGGGTTACTTCTACCTAAAGCCTGCTCTCTTCTGGGGTGTCACCCACAGCCTAGAACCAAAGAAACCTTCTGTATGTCATGGATCATCTAACTCTTTCCTTTGGATTTCAAAGACCAAGGAGAATGACTTAAGCATTTCCTCCTGCCACAGAGGGCTTCATTTGATCCCACCATGCAGGGGGGATGGGGGTCCCCAGGAGACCCAGAGCCTTATAACTGCCCTTTACCTGCTTAATGGAAGAGAGACCAGCTCACAGAACTGAATCTCTAAGAGAGAGTTTGGGAATTTAAAGCTGGAAGGCCTCCTGTGGAGATGAGAGCCACTCACAGACCTAGAAGGAGTCTTCCCAGGTGACCCTCCCAAATTGGGGTGGTGATTCATCCAAGGAAACTCTTGATCCATAGGAAGCCCCGAGAGAGGAGTCTCTTTTCACTCAAGATCTCTCACATAATTTTTTAATGTAGGGGAGGGAAGAGACCTTTACTTTTTTTGTATGTCTGCTTAGATGTTCGAATTATGAACTTACAGCACTGATAACTGTTTTTAACTCCCTCTGTGGGACAGCAAAGAGGGAAGTGATAGGTAAACCTGATTTTTATCAATATATCTTTAGAAGAAGCACTAGGGATAGCATTAAAACATTCCATTGAGTTCATTCAGTATTTCCAACTAATAAAATAGCGCTTAATGCAGCTGAAGGAAAAGGGTCATTTGCCAAGATTATTGGCATTCCCAGGCCGTGATTCTGGTGACAACAGAATCAAAATGGACGCCTGCCATTTAACTGCACACACATGCTTCCCCTCAGGGTGACACGCTAACATTACTTTGCCGCTAACCAGCAAAAGAGCCTGTCAAAACTATGTCCTCTCTGGAGGTTTCTTTAACGAGCTTCAGCAAACTCTTTACAAGCAGCAGTGACTCCCATGCAGCTCTCCTTGCACATGTTTGGCAAAAAATACCTGTCGTCATTTTGTGGCTTAAGCAGTCGGTTCTCCTCTAAGCTGGACGTGGCTGCTGAGGCAGAGGACACAGAGTACGTTTGAATCTTGCTGCTATGACTGGTGACTTCTACGTTCTCCCTAGGCCCAGCCTTGCCAATGCTGAGCCGTTTCCATTTCTGCTGATCTATCTCTGTCACTGGTCCAAAGTGCACAAACTTTTGCCTGGAGCCGGAAACTTTCTTATAGGCCCTTGCTTTGCGGCTGGCAAAGTCATCCCGGATGGCAGTTTCTGCTTTAATTTCTGCTGAAGGTTCAGGGGCACAGATGTGCTCAACATCTTCATCCCTAGTCATAACCAGAAATGAGTTCCAAAGGTTTCTGAGGCAAGTACAAGTCAATAAGAGGTTTTTTTTTTTTTTAAGTAATAGATGAAAAATATTTCTATGGCTAGAGCAGAATTGCTTTTCTGTTAATCAATCAAATGGGTAAATAGGGCTGTAAGCATCTACTGCTTTCAAAACATCACTTCCAACATCATACATGATGACATAAGAAAACCTTAGGTATGATGAGGTATTCAAGTTATTTAAAAATTAAGTTTAAATTCCTTAGAGCAAACAAGCCTATCAACATGACCATTCACAATTAGTTGGTTGAATTAAAGAGGAAGTTTTCTATCCTCGTGGCTTGTAACTTTTGCATTAATAAGTTTCAACTCGTGCAGAATATACACTGTTTTGAGAGGCAGCAATTATTTCTAGCCATGAAGACAAAAAATGATCGAAGCATAAGCATTCAATTCCTTCAAAGTTAAATAAGACCACTGCCAGGGGAAAACATGACACACCTCGTCTTTTCTGACACTTTCAGTCTCTTCCAGGTCTCCAAGTCAGCTTCTGTTATACTGGAGGTGCTGACAAAGCTCGGAGCCTCACGGTGAGGGGCAAGGCTGCCCTGAATTCTCCGCTGTGCCAGGTCATCCTTGTAAATATCCGGCACCTTCCTGAGTCCCTCTTCCGCAGCTTCACTCTCCCGAGCCCGCATAATACAGGTCACTACTGACTTCCCCTCTTCTGTTTGGCCCTGGTTTCTGTCCGTTTGATCCAAGCCCCGACATCATCGGAAAAATAAAGTTCAAGGAAGGGGAGCAGACAAACAGGTTGTCAAGCATGGGAATTCAGAGGCTGAATGAAATGATGGAAGTACCTTTCCCTTTCTCAAAAAACAGGGAGTCAATTGGAGCCTTGATTACTTTCGCCTATCTTACCTTTTGACACTGTAATGAGAAGGAAGTTTTTCTACCAGATGACAGGCTCTAGTTTAGTTTAGGAAAAGAAGCCAGGGTTCACTGAAAGACTATTAAGAATGGTAATGAGATTTTGGTTTGTCAGTAATGATGCCCAATTCCCACACTATTCAAGTTAGTATAATGAATTCAAGTTTTCTAATTGAATCCCTGAGCCCTCTTGGAATGTCTTTTACTGCACCAGTAAAATGTGAGTAATGAGCTCCGCATGATCCAAATTCTAGGATTAGTTTGGAGATAGCTGGAATGTTGTTCACATACTAAAACATCTCAACCATAAACCCACAACTGTCAGAAAGTACGTTTAAGTTGATTCCGACCAGAAAGTTTCGATGTTCAAACTCAGTCCCTGCTTCCTGATAGCATTAGTGAGGTTTGGCTAATGTAAACTTGAACAAATAGACTATATCCTCTTTTCCTTGATCTAGAGTCAATACCCATTTCTTACTTGTGTTAATAACTGTTTGCTTTTATTGATGCTAAAACTGATATTTTCAGTTTTTCTCCTAAGGAGTGAACATTTGATGTCTAATGTTGACTATGTTATAATTTAAACCAAAGCTGTGGCATTGATCTGCATAAACATTAAAGGTTGATTCCCAACTAAATATGCTTATTGAGACAGAAAATCCAAAAATTACACATCAATAGGGCTATTTAGTTTCTCAGAATACATCATCCAGGCCAGAAAACCAAGAGGCATTCTTTCGCCACCAGGATGACTTCATGTATTCATAGAGTCGATGCAAATAGGAAGGCTACAGAATTCTCTATTTACTTTTCGTTTGGGGAGGGGGATCAAGGAAGAGTAGCGCAAAGAGCCACCAAGGAGCCTTCTTTTTTCCGTCAGTTCTCTGATGCTCTCTAGAGAGGTCATGGGCTATCCCAGACCCAGAATTGTGTCCCTACTCATAGGGTCAGGTGACAACAGACAAATGAGGCTGGAAATATCAGGAATTAAAATTTCATGCAGGGGAAAGGAAAAAAGAGAGATACAAAAGCTACTCCTTTTCCTAACTCAAGTTGCTGATCCCCATCAATGTGCCTTGATGCTAGTCGGTTATCCAGAGGTCTTTGTTTCACTGGCAACAACTGATCCCTCCCACAAGGCCCTCCTAGGATGGTTTGCGACAAGGCATGCCAACAAGAACCGCAAAGACTGAGCCTCCTGAAGCTATAAGGTGTCCTATAAAAACATCGTGCCAGGTCTTCTGTACTTTAATACCTGTTCTACATCTGGGGATCTTTCAGGTGTTTTGTATCTGGTACTTCCTAAAACAAAAACAAAAACAAACCAAAACCCACTAACTACTCATGACTCTGCCCAAAGAAACATTTTCATTGTGTAATAATACATAGTTGAGATATTTATAATTTTAGTTCAATAGATTTGCGAACCTCTTAAGTGATATATAAAAAGATGGCAGTGAAACATTAAAGATGTAAACTCTGATTTTGACTAAGCAAAAATTACAGACCGATCAACTCTACCCTACAAAATTTAGTGACTTGACACCTTAAATGAAATCATATCTCTCTAAGGATAAAAATCACTGGCCAAATCCAATTTCACTACATGTTTCCTTTCCCAAATTAAGAGGATGGGAGAAAAGTTGGTAGAAGGGAACTCATTTAAAAACAATTTCTATGAATAACAGAGGTACATTATATGTTTGAATATTGTTTTTTAAATGAGAAATATCTATCATCAAATGTATAGATGATCTTGCTAGTGTGAGGGATGAAAGAGCAAGCCTCGTTTATTTTCCCTTCCAAAATCTAAAAGGAGTTAATAGGAGAGAAGAGCTTATAGCTAAGGAATATCTATGTTTTCTGCCTCCTGTGAATAGGCTAGAGCAGCCTCGAGAGGTGGCCGTTCCCTGGTAGCAACAGCACATGCCTATTTGTGCCAATAATGCCAGTCTGTGACACCAGCACCCATATGTGGTGATGGGCACAGATCCAGGACAACAAAGCTTATTTGGTGAATCCAACCCTATTTTGGACATGGTCTTTTCACGCTCTGCCATTGCACGCAGGGAGATTGGGTATCTGGAGTTCTCCTTCAAAATAAACCACCATTACCAAGCATACACAATTAGGGCAGGAAAGAGAACAGTAAGTAGGGAGGGCTATGATACAAATCACTTTTACTCAGTTATGTTCTCTCTGTCTTACATACCACACACACAGTGCACACCTTTTATATTCTAGACTTTTCTTTTCTGAGATTCCCTTTGAAAGTTTGCTGCTCTCTGATTTTTCTGCCTCTTTTTTGCGGTAAGGCCCGTAGAGGAGTTGATGCAGTGGCACCATTGGTTTGGTCTGGTTCATCCTGGCTCTCCTCGCGGCAAAGTCATCTTTCTCAAGGTCAGGCAGTCGACACGCAAGTTCCTCTTCTGATTCTGAGTTTTTGCCATGTTGGTGGGTCAGGAAAGGGTTTTCTTTCCGAAGGACAATATCGCGAACAGCTTCTTTCTCATCGCTTAATTGCTTTTGACTGATAGAGCAAAATTAAATGGAACTCTACATGTGATCAGACCAAAAAAAATTTTTTTAAATCCCCATCTCCAGTCAGGCAACTGTGTTGTCAATATCGTTAGTTCAGATGACATCTGTTTACTATTTTAGTTCAGCGTTGCATCATAGTTAGTGTGGGTTTTAAAACCTTGAACTGAGCCAGCTACTAGCAACACTAAAAATTTCATTTAATTTACAGGGTCCATCAGCGTCAGAAAAGCAGGATCCTAAATGGCTCTGAGAGTGACAATCCCAATTCTTTCCATTAAATTCGGAAGAGTAGGAAGCTTTTTGCTGTTGTTCACTTTCCTTTAGCACCTTAGTAATGGGCCCAGTGGGTACTCAATTTGTTTTTGACTGACAGGGCAAAAACTTGAGCCACCAAGACATTGATCTGGGGGAAAGCTACTGAAGGCAGCTCTGTGATAGCACATCCAGGATGTGTACCAGATTGCAAAGGGTAAGGGAGGTCTTTCTGCAGAGCTGAGCTAACCTGAAACATCTGGAAGTGCTTATGACCATTCACAGGATGAACCAAAGGCATAAGGAGCTCCCCTGCCCTGCACCCCTCTCGGCAACCCTTTCTTGCCCCCATGATTCTCCACCACCAGCTCTTTGTCATATGCTAGAGGCCAAGTAAGACATTTTGACAGACTGGCTTAACCATTATAGCTTTGGGCTATTTCCATTTTCAAAAAGATCTTGAAAGCCCCACACTTTAAATTCCTAGAGGAATGTAGTTTACTCGTAGAATATCAGGACTTTTTCACTTTATTTTGGTTTTGTTGGAGGTGGGTAGGGTGGGAATACAGTTGATTGGGCCTATCTGATATTTGTACAAACTCCTCTCCTTCTACTCATAAGATCACCTTGTTTCTAAGTATTAACCCTTGTTAAAACTTTTAAAAAATCATTTATTATCATCTCAGTTTATAAAGATGATAAGTAAATGAAATATTTTGATTTCTAAAGAAAGTTCACCTACTTTGTATCCGATTTCTGAGAGAAGATTAAAAGTAAGTCCTTTATCCTCAAAGCCCAACTTGTCTCAGAGATGGAGACAGGCGGGACCGGCCCGGCTGAGTGCCCTCTGGTCGGCCGGATGGCCCACCGTCAGCTGCTCTGCCCCACACGGCCCAGGGGAGGGCATCATTTTAGGCCCACAGCAGGCACTCACTCCATTTGACTTTTGGAAAATCAAATCATCATTAACTCCATCTCGTTGCTGACTATCGTTCTAAATAACATTTTGAAACATGTTACTGGGAGGTACTTGGTGGTGCTTTATTTCCTAAATAAATTTCTTTCATAAAATATGAAACTCTGCCCTTTGGGTTGCACACCGACCCTCAGTGCCCTGCCTACTGACTCCTGGACTGTGTTCACGCTCCTTCCTGTCCCCTTGGCCGACATGTCTGTCAAGTATGAACAGGTGTTGGTTGTCATGGAAAGCAGTAGGGAGATACCTCAAGAAATTAAAAATGGATCTGCGTTTTGACCCAGCAATCTCACTTCTGGGGATATATCCGAAGGAAAACAAACACTAATTTGAAGGAACATAAGCACCCCTATGTTCTCTGCAGCTTCAGTTACAATAGGCAGGATATGGAAGCAGCCCAAGTGTCCATCAGAAGATGAATGGATAAAACAGCTATGAGACATTTACACAGTAGAGTACTATTCAGTCGTAAAAAAGAAGAAAATTTTACCCTTTGCGGCGGCGTGTATGGACCTTGAGAACATTACGCTAAGTGAAATAAGCCGGTCAGAAAACAGACAAATATCATATGATTTCACTTGTAATGTGGAATCTAATGAACTAACTGAATTAACAAACAAAATAGAGAGCCTCACAGATGGAGAGCAGGATGACAGGGAAGGGTGGGGAGGAGGGAACGGGAATGGAAGAATTGAGCAAAAAGGGATTCATGGACAAGGACAATAGTGATTGTGGTGGAAATGGGGAGGTATAAGGAAACTAAATGGTAATAGAAAAAGTGCAATAAAATTTTTTTAAAATAAGGCATTACTTAAAAAGCACATTGATGAAGACAAAGAAGGTGACTGACAGGCACTGAGTGAGTACTATGTGCTAGAAGTTTTTCTAAGCATTAGTTCATTAAACCCTAATACTAACCCTGCAATGTTAGCATTACTAGCATCCTCATTTTATAGAGTGATGACTCAGATTAGGTTAAGAAATTTGCCAAAGGTCAAAGTGTCAGTGCTGAAGTTAAAATTCCAACCCAGGCAGGCTGGCTCCAGAGGTCCTGTTCTTAACCATTGTGCTATTCATTAAACAAAGGACCAGGGCAGAAACAGTAATGAAAGCAGAGCATCATACAAAAATTAAGGCATTATCATTACTATGGGAATAGAAGAAAGAGAAGTATTTTGGTTACTAAATAAAAGGATCCTGTGAGTTGTGCTCGGAATGGAGCTGTGATTTGCATTGCTGGTTACAGAGAGCAATGTTCAGCCAGGATTAATGAAAGCAGAAAGCTAACTAATCACACCTTACAATGCTTGCACAGCACTTTACAGTGTGCGAAGTGCTTTCACACTCATTATCTCATTTCTGCTGATCCAACTCCAATTCCAGTGTGGGATCAGATCTCTAGCTTAAACCTCTTACGTCCAAGAGTAGCATTCTTTCTATTTTATGGCCCGGGGTCCTGGGTTTCAGTCTCCCCCAACTCAGGCAGAATTCTTTGGAATAAAATATATGCATTTATGCAAATGGCCATGACAATTAGTGATGCTAATTTAAGCAGAGAGAATCTGGTGCCTTTTGCATCATGTGTGCCCAGCCAGACTACAAATTCCCCGGGGTGTTTCTTTTTAGGCTAAATGCCCAGCGTGGCAGGGCTCCCTTAAGTGATCTCAATTTAGATATGTGCACTTCAGAAAAGGGGGTGAAGAAAGTTTTCCGTATCATTGACCACTTAAAACCACTCCCTGCCCGCTGGTCACAAAGACTGATTTTTGCGCTAATTGCTTGAATCCTGTAAATGCAGAACTTCAAGGCAGACTCAGGGAAAGAAAAAAAACAATACTAATGCAAATTCCGGGCTGGCACTGTTGGCCATGAAGCAATAAATCATACGTTTCAGGTAGATTTGTTCAATTGTGTTCACAGGTGTCTAGTTACCAAAATATTTAAGTGGCTTTTTATAAAGTGCTTTTCTCTTTCCCTTGAAGGACCTTAACGGAATCTATTGTAAAGCTTCAATTCAATCTACTTTATTTTTCAGTCATTACAGCTCTCTGAACAACTCGTACCTGCCAGATCCACTAACTTTCATGATAATAAAATGCAAGATGGGAATTCTGGTGCTCACTTTGCAGGGGAGAACGTTGAGATTTCTGGCTCCAGGTATCCAAACTTTGGTAAAGTAAGTACATGTGAGAGGCAGACCCAGGCTGTCTCGCTTGACCTTCATGGGAAGTTAGGGCCCTTTCGTTTTTTCTGCATCATCCACAGAGGAGCTGCTTTGGGAAGAACGGGTAGATGGCCCCAGGGGCACAGCCCACCGTTTCCCTTAGAGAGAATACAGTCTGCCGTGAACTGAGAAATGCCAAGCCCTGCCTCCTGCCTGGCAAGCTGTCCGGCTTCCTCTAAAACAAGTAAGGCTATCGTGGTAGCAGACCGTGGGCTCGAGGCAGGTGAGGGGGAAGAAAAAGCTCTTGTCTCCAAGTTTCTGAGGCTTATATATTTCAAAGTGAATGAGATAATGCTTTAAACTAAGGAAGAGCTGACATTTTCTTTCACTCCTTTTGACTTGGCAACACACAAGCAACTGGCTCAGGCTGGTAGTCAGTTTGTTCTATTCAAAGAAACTGGGCTCTCCAGAAAAGCCTGTTAGGCCTCCTGGGAAAGTTATGGGCAACACCAAAAACATCCCTGCTTCCCCCAGAGTCCAAACGGGGCAGCTCCATCCTGAGTCGCAAAAGTTCATGCAAGTTCTGTGTCTGCCTGGTCCCCTGATCCCCGAGGGTCTGTTCAGCAAGTCAGTGACACGGGCATCTGGTAAGGAGGGACGGACCGAACATGTGTCTGGCCTTTAGCTGCGCCTGCTCTTCCTCTAAAAACTTCTAAAATGTCTATTGTTCCTCAGAGATTTTTTTCCCTCTGTAATTAATTACTATGTGGTTGAGAAGATCCACAGACTAGCAGAAAAGACTGAGTGCTGAAACATATGAAAACAATTAGAAAAGAAGTACAATCACGTGAAACCTATAATTCAGTTCAGAAAAAGTTTACTTCTCCAATGGGAAACACCAAGTCAGAGAACTCCAAGCTCCATAGTATTTTAATTCAGGGGACATGAATCTTGGTTCTTATTTTATCCTCTTAAAAAGAGAAATCTTGGCTTCTTTAGCAGAGTCTCATATTTGGGGGGTAATTAAGCTAACTTAATCATAAACTAAAAGAGAAGAAAAAGTGGCTTATATGCTTTTTACTTTAATGGCAACTCTAGTAAAGATTAAACTCCATGGATTTATTAAGAAGTCCTACTTTCTGTCTCTTGGTGCCAAGATACCTCCTAACATATTGTTTGACAGGAAACTGGGGACTCCTAGGCTTCTACATTCATGTGAAAATGGAATACCATGCACCTTTCCTCCTTTTTACATAGGGAGTTAAAAATAATGCAAGGAGGGGCTTGAGAATACTTGGGAAAGAACAACATCAACAGGAAAAACAGTCTAAAAAGTAGTCATGCCTCTCCACTCTCACCCATCTCTACAAACACTGACTTTCCCAGCTGAGAAATGGGACAAAGAAGTATCTTAGGACTCTTATTGAGTTCAAATATGCAGTGGCCAGAATTCATCTGGATGGCCAAGAGAGGAGACAAAAATTAAAATGTTTTAAGGGACATCATCATATTTAAATATTTTATATTCATATTCTCTAGACACCAAGAATCCTTTCCTTCTTCATGACACCCGTTTCATTCAAGGTACTTTCTGCCACATTAAAAGCAGGGTCCCAAATATGGATAAACTTAGAATGGCTCTCAGCTCTGTTGTGGGCTGCAAAAAGTAAGTGACAAAGGCACATATGTCAGGCTAGTGGCATGGTATGTACAAAACCTTTCCGGGAGCACTAGCAGCTGAAAATTGGTCTAAGAAATGAATTCTCGGTATTTGGCACAGCTGTGTCACACTGCTATTGGGGACATTCTCCGGGAACATGCATAATTTTCCTGAACCCAATTTTAAATGTTAAAGCAGAAGATCTAGGGTATGATGACATTAACTGACCTGCAAATTTCTGCCTATAATAGAGCTAAGTTGGGCAAAATATGTAAAATTTCAGCCAGATCACAGGAAACGTGTACAGGAGTAAAAATGACCACATAAATATAATATTCGGCAATCAGAATTACATTTGTAAATTAACCATGATTCTAAGCTTATACATAGAGGCATGTTGTCATTAAATATTTCAATGGTTTATTAGAAAATAAAACTCCCAGTTAACTGGAGTGGAATTTCCAGCCTTTGCCCAAACTCTTCTTTCCCTACATCACCATGATTCCTGGGTGTGCTGAGTTAGCTTGATGTAGCTACCCACTCACCTTTCCTTGCTCTTATAAATATTCTAAAGATGACAGGGAATTTACTCAAAAAATAAATAAATAAAAATAGAACTACTATATGATCCAGCAATCCCAATTCTGGGTATTTATCCAAAAGAATTTAAACCAGGATCCCAAAGAGATATTAACACCCCCATGTTCACTGCAGCACTATTCACAACAGCCAAGATGTGGAAACAACCTAAAGGTCCACCAACAATAAAGAAAATGTGGACTATTATTCAGCCTTTACAAAATAGGAAATTCTGCAATATGTGACAACATGAACGACTCTTCAGGACATTATGCTAAGTTAAATAAGCTAGTCACAGAAGAAAAAATATTGCATAATTCTATTAATAAGAAGTGTCTAAGAGTCAAATACCTGCAATCAAAGGGTGGAAGAGTAGTTGCCAGAGGCTGGGGGAGGGGGAAGTGTGTAGTTGCTAATCAATGAGCATAGTTTTAGTTAAGTGGGAAGAATACATTCTAGAGATCTGGTGTATAGCATTGTATCTGTAGTTAACAATACTAAGTTGTACAGTTAAAATTTTGTTCAGAGAGGAATTTTCATGCTGAGTGTTATTATCATAATAAAATAACTTTTTTAAAAAAAGGAATAAAAGTGGCAAAGAATATGAGACAATTTATGGAAGAATAAACCTGAGTGGCCAATGTACATAATGTGATAGTCAACCACATTTGTGGTTGATCATGGAACAATCATGGAACAATCAATTTTTATGGAACAATCAACTTTCAATGATGAAATCTTTTTTTAAACAAGAGGGTAATTTTTTGAAAGGATAAAACAGAAAAAAACATGATGGCGTCTTCGGTAAATTTTAGCTTAAAGACTTCATAGTTGTTATGAAATGAAGGTATGTGTCAAGCATATTAAGGTTAATTTTTTTTTTAAGTCATCCTCTAACCAGTGTCATTTATTACCTACTTTCACTGGGCCCTAGATTTGAAGACAGAAACAGGAACAGTCTGAAAAATAGTGCATGGTAAGGAGATATTATTCATTTCTGTATTCTCAGCACCTAGCCTGCTCTTTCATACAAGTAGATGCTCAAATTATGTTGAAAAAATATGTATCTGACAACATCTCTGAGCGAAGATTTGATTTTGTTTTTAAGATTTTACCGCATTATTCTTCTTTATTTCAGAAGCCCAGAGTGTTGCTTTTAACAAAAGCACAATTTTATGTTAGACTTTTCTAGAAGCACGTACATGTTTAGGATAGACATACTTAACTGTGGAATACCACAGGCAGGGAAGAAATATAACCTTTTTATTTCTTCTTCTTCTTTTTATTTATTTTTTTAATCAATGCAGTTACTCTAGAATGAAATCCATGTAAGTCAATGCTGGACTTTCAATTAAGACTTGGACCACAGCAATAACCACACATGGAATTGTAGAGAGAAATAGAAAACATTCCATTAAATGTGTGGGAGGCAGATGGGGTACTGTGATCACAACCTCTGAATCTAGCCACCAGGCCAGCAGTAACCAGCTCTGAGACTGGGAAGTCACTTACTATCACTGATCCTCAGTTTACTCTTCTTGAAAATGGGTATGTCACCTATCTCTTAAGATTAAATGGAACAGCAAGTGGTGAAGGAATTTCAATTGTCAAACTGTTATGAATTTCAATTTGTCAAATAAATTTTGGCCTCACTATTATTTATTAGGATCTTTGTGGTTATTATATGAGAAAAATTAACCAGCTTCCCAAACATCACATAAAGCTGTAGAACTATAGTTTTCTGTGCCTTGGACTGCTGAAAGTCTCCATCTCACAGGTAATACGAAGCCATCGGGACTGTATACTAGTGCCTTTGTTACAATTAAGAGAAGTAATTACTCTACTCTTTGTTTTTGAATCAACGTGCTTTAGAAAAGGAGTCAAGTAAACCCAGTCTTTCTTACTACTCCCCTAGGACAAAGGAAGTAAATGGATTTTGTAAGCCAGCCATTCTTTCTAAAGAGACTGCTCCCTATTTCAAAGGAGCTATTTTCTAGTGATGTGTAAAGTAAGATAAGAGCCATTTAGGAGTAGCGTGAAAATCAACAGGCCATAAACCATTGAAAAATAAAATGTTATTGCCAAGGTAAATACTGCAGCCCACAAATGACTGACCACAATTCTTGACTAGGACAAGGTCTAATCAAGCAGCAGAAAGCTTACTTTTCACCTGCATTTCAAATAACCAACTACTGAAGCAGAGACATGCCCGAGGGCAGAGACTATTAGCTATTTCTAGTTGCTCCAAGGAGGGAACAGTGATGCAATGAAAAGCAGGGAGCAGGGCAAGGAGATGGAAAGTCCAGCGCGCCAGACAGAGTCCAACCCCCGAGGCATGCACACAGCCAGCCAGGCCTGCCCTCGGCCTGGCCTGCAGAGCTAACCTGGCAAAGCGCTGTGCTGCTGGCATGACCTTGATCCCAGCTTGCTCTAGCCTTCTGCGCTTTTGGATTTCAGCAGCATCCTTTTCTTCAGACTTGGGAGCTGGTACTACTGCAGCTCCCTCTGGAGGAGGCTGCTCCTTACCACTGCCAGTGGGTAATTCTAACCCACCATCAGAAGGCTTCCCATCAGGATCCATGTGGCCAGCTGGTTCCTCCTCTTCACAAGGAGACCCCGCTTCACTTCCCTCTTCCTCTATTGTTTCGGGATAGCTAGTGAGTTGGACAATATGGTTTACCAAGCTAACAGACTGGCCCGGGGAGCAGACCACATGCCATCTTCTGGTCATTCTGGTACTATTTTCCACTTAAAAAAAAAGTCATAGCATGCAGTATGATCCCGGCAATGTGACCAAAGTTAAATGTAGCCCTTTGTTAATTAATACAAGGCATGATAATCTCAACATGGATTAAGAGCTTTTTCAAAATTGATATTGAAAGGCAAAAACCTTTCTGCTGGAGTGGTGAATTTTATGTTTTGTTCAATAATTAAAACTTTTAATAAAATGCTTGTTCAATGGGAAATCATCAATAATAAAGGAAGACTATTAGAAAGAACCATGCAATGATCAGGGTGGTTTTGCTGAAAGTATTAGACTGGAGTGTAAGTTTCTTTTATTGGACTATAAGGTTCTCGAAGGCAGGGACTCTATCTTATTTACTATTGGGTCCCCAATTCCTAAAAGACAGCACCTAGTAGGTAGTAGATGCTCAGTAAATATTCATTGAATAAGTGAAAGAAGAAAAACAGAATCAGAGATTAGGAAAAAGGAAAAACACTGTTTCTTTAAAGAGAGGAGCAATCCAATGTCCCTTCCTTTGAGTAGGAGTTTCTACATATGATTCTGAAGCATGTTCCATGTATCCCTTATATATTTGAGCTTGTACCTAGATAACCATGCATCTCAATAAAAAATGTCTTTTTGCATAAAGACAAGTCTTTCTGCACCTAATCTAACAGGAGTAGGAGTCAGGCAGTGTCCATAGAAGGCTGTGGACAACAAATCTGTCCTCAATATTCTGTCAACGAGACCAGTTTTTTTAAAAATCTGCTTGTTAGACAAGCATTTGTTGAATATCTACTGTGTGCTAGGCACTGTTCTAGATGCCTTCAAGAAGCTTCTAGTCTATCATCACAATCTCTCTCCAAAGATCTGTCCCGCCCACTCCATCTGCTACATCCCAGTTCAGAAACAGTTACTTGAGCTAATCTGTGCCCAGGAGCTGTAGATCCTCCACCACTGTGTTCCCGCCAGGACAGAGCCGCGCAGCTCGGGCCTTACCTGAAGGGCCTCTCCCCACCCAGGGGGGAGGTGGCGGTGCTCCAGCTCTTCCGATATTCCTCTCGCTCTGCTTTCTTCTTTCTCAGAGGAGCGGGCACATAGGCCGTCTGATTGCTTTTGTTCGGGAGGTACTGGTTAAAAGGCACTGCTGATTTCGGCTCACCATGAGAAGTCCGCCTGGCAGACATGTCATCCTTCTTCACATCAGGCAGCTTCCGATGTGGCAAGTCAGATTCAGAGTCACTTCCTCTCCCTGCAGAAGAGAGGCCGGGTGCTGAGCAGTGTGTGGGGCTAGCAGAAAAGCGCCCGAAGGCGAGTGTGCAGTCTTAGGGGTGCGGTTACATCTGTGGGCTCTGGGGGTTCCTCCCTTCAGTTATTCACTTAACAAATCTAAAGTATCAGTCTAAATTAGCCTACTCTAGGAAAAGCTCTCAGCTCCACTCAGGACAAAAGCCCTTCAAATTAAAAAGAAAGAGAGGTAAAGAAACAACTCACAGATACAGAGAACAGACTGACAGGGGACATGAGGTAGGGGGTTTGGGTGAAAAAGGCGATGCGATTAAACAAAAAAAAAAGCCCCCAAAACTCATAGGCACAGACAACAGTATGGTGGTGACCAGAGGGAAAGGAGAGTGGGGTGAGGTAGAAGAGGGTACAGGGGGGATAAACAGTGAGGGACCAAGGCTTGACTTTGGGTGGTGAACACACAATACAATATGAAGACGTATTACACAATTATGCACTTGAAATGTATATAATTTTATTAACCAATGCCACCCCAATCAATTTTTAAATTTAAATAATTATTGAAAATAAAAAGAATAGAGGTAAGTTAAGCCTAGCTGTACCTGAGAATTACAATTAGCAACATGCGTGCAATAGCACACTCTGCCTGCCCAGATTCTGCAACCCTCAAAAGAAAAAAAAGTAAATTAACCAATGGAATTTTTATTGAGCACCTGTTGTTCCATGTCTCACACTGTGCTAGATATTCTGACAAACAAAAATTATAAAGCATTTGTCTTTGAGGCATCTTTAACCAACCCATGAAACACCTGGAGACTATTAGTTACAATGTAGGAAAAATAGGAATTCAGAAAAGTGGCCGATTTGGATTATAACCAAGGGTTTGCCTTCCAGGAAATGGTTTGAGTTATGATAAATGCATATTCCTCTATATCAGAGCCCTTCCCTGTGAACCCTGTGGCCTGATCATCTATTTTCTTTTGCACATTTTAACTTCTATCTTGTATTTTGAGGACACGGCTTTTTATTATTTACAGTACTTATTACCATGTCTTTGCACAAAATGGGCGTCCTCAAATTAAATGAATTGGTTTGGCTTCAACAACGTTTTAGACAAGGTGAAGGAATTCAATGTTGCCAACATCAGTCTTTTTGCGGAGGCGGGGGCGGGGGCGGGGGGGAATTGCCCCCATAATTAATTATATTGTATCCTTGTTCCCTTAATCTCATATCGCTAGGTTTCTAACATCCATAGAGTGGAGCTGTCATTAAAACAAACACTACTGTTGGTTGATAACTGCCATTCTCATGCCAGGTGAAAACTCTTAAGCAATGAGAGCTTTAAGAGGCTATTCAACTCCTAATAGAAAATTACCTGTTTACACTTGTGAAGAGAACCTTAAACCAAGAGTCAAAGAGATGGGGCGGCCTAGCACGGTGGGTAGTGTGTACAGCGTGTCAGTCAGATCCACTTCCCGTTGTGCTCTGCCCCTAAGGAGCTATGAGACTCTGCATTTGTTACTATACTAACCTGAGCCTCCGTTTCCCAACTGGTAAAGTGAAGCTAACCGTACCATCTACTTCAGAGGGCTGTTGGGAGGATCAAATACATGTAGAACTATTGGTACAGTTTGTGGCCCACAGCACAGGCTTAATAAATGCTGATGGCTCGTTATGTCCTAATAGTTCTGGATCTGTCAATGCTGAGCTGTGGGCTCCTAGGCTTGTCTCTAATACACTATAAAAGTTAGCCCTGGCTGGTATGGCTTAATGGGTTGAGCGCTGGCCCGTGAACTAGAAGGTCACCAGTTTGATTCCTGGTCGGGGCACATGCCTGGGTTGCAGGCCAGGTCCCCAGCCGGGGGCATGCAACAGGCAACCAACGGATGTTTCTCTTACACATTGATGTTTCTCTCCTTCTTTTTCCCTCCCTTCCCTTCTCTCTGAAAAACAAATTCAAAAATCTTAAAAAAAAAAAAAAAGACTGTGAAAGTTAAAAGCATTGACCATAAACAAGTTGTTCATTGTTGCAGATAACATATTCAGTTTATGAATTATTCATGCCGCTTGCTTTCAGTCTTCTGAAGCTCTGACTGGTTCATTACTTGTTAGTTTTTAATTTGTAACTTAGTTCCCTTCCCATCCTGTATTTTATCAAATACTGTTTATCTGTCTCAGTGTCATAATAAAATGTCTAGAGTCCTGTGAATCTCTTTGTAAAGGAGTACCTTGCCAAGCTCTTATATTTGTTTCCCTATTTATTATTATCCCAACTTTATAAAGGTGGAAACGGAGGTTCAGAGAGGCCAAGAGAGCCCTCTTCCTAATGCTGGTTCATACCAGGCGGGGACTCTGACGTTTCCAGACTCCCAGCCCAAAGTTTCTTCCATCGGGACATGCTTCTCTTGGGAAAACATCCCTTGCTTAAAGCATCTGACTCGGGGAAGCACTGCGCTTTGCTGAATAAATGAATGAAAGAAAATGATACTTCAATCAACTATGAAGGCTTAGTAATAGGTTAGAATTGTCTCAATTCTAAAACCCTATAGTTTATGAACCTTATGTACAAATCTAAAAAATATATATTATCTGTAATCTACTGAGTGAAAGTCTCAAAATAGGTTGTTTAACATATAAACAGATCACCCTTTTCATTTATTAAAATTTTTAAAAAATTTTTTATCAAAGTCTGATCCTTCTTTTCCACGGGCCTATACTTCTCTCCTTTACAGAAAATAGGGGGTCTTTCTTTTGTTTGCACACCTTTGCCATATGCACCCCCAACTCTCTGCTTTTTAATCTTCTTCTAGCACTTTAATTTCTCTCATTTCTTATTTCTCTCCCATAAGGTAAGAGTATTCATTGAACAAAATGCATCGTATTTATAAAATACGGTGTTAATTTTAAAGGTACCTGGGTGGAAGTTTTTGCATATCCTCCTCCATGAAGCTCACTGAGCGGCCTCGGAGGCAAGCTTACGAAGGCAAGGGAGGAGCTGGCACCTATCTAGCAGGACAGGTTGGCTGAATTGCCCTTGGGGACTCACAGCATCCCTACCAGGTAGCTCTGGTGTCCAGTCCATAAAATCATGGCAGCTCTACTGAGTGTGGCTCTTGATTGTCCCTATCGAATGGGTCAGGGGGCCTTAATAATAATAAAACAAAAGCTCTCCATATTGACTCAATATGGAGTTGGAGAATTTTATAGTTAGACTTTCCCTAATTGATTATGAGTCCTAGGAAATAAATTTGCAAGACTTAAAAAAATTTCTTCTAACTTTGAAAGTTTATTAGATCTAGCAATCTTCTTGATTAGCCTCACTTAAAAAATACCATAAACTCTAAGGAAATATATAGCATCTACTTGGATAAAATTATACTAATTTTTTTTTAGGCACATAAAAATGTGTTTCTTTTCTTTAAAAACCTCATTACGTCTTGATTAGTTTACAAGAACATAAGCCTGAAGGTATCAGGCTGATTGGTGAAACTTGTGTGTAAGATGCTCTTTCATGAACAGTGTTTTGTGAAGCTCAATTTCATGTGTCTTTAGATGGAAAAAAAATTTATAAAAAGACTCTAACTTATCAATCTTAATTGTTGCAAACTAAATTGTGCCTCTGCACAACTACAATACTAGTAACCACCATCTCAAATCTGTTCAAGATGTGGCTCATTTTAAACTCTGAACCCCGGGAAGCTGGTGACAGAACAAATAAAGGAGCTACATTACCAATTATAAAGAACCAAGATGAGGAAAAATAATAATTTTTTTAAACAATCATAATAATATGGGTAAAATAGTGAAGCTAAGGTAGGTTTTGTGAAAGTAAATCTACCTGTTAGAATTATGTTAAAGCTCAATTAGATCATGCACTTGGTACTGTAACTTCTAAAACTGTGGGTGGTACTTGAGGTCATATGAAATTTTAGAAATGTTCTTCAAGCACCTGACAATGCACCACGGAATTCTTTAGGAGTCAAACACTATGTGGCCCTGAGGCTAATCTATTTGTTGGGAAGTTTAAGTACTAAACAAAAGCATTCGTTCAGACATTCTAGAATTTAAAAAATCTATTAGGCAAACAAAGAAGTGTGGGTAAATTAAGCTTAAGAGTATAAGATTTGGACTCACAGTTCTAGAGGCTAATGTTACACTACTTACTGGTAGTAATTTTTGTCTCTTTCCAATGTTAGAATGGTTACTTTATCTCTCTAAGTTTCATCTGGAAAATACGGATAAGAAGGAGTATCTTACAGCCCCGTGGGGGGACTAAATGAGATATGTGAGTAGCTCACGATCTACGCTGAGGACTAACTGAGATACTAGCTGTCAGGCAATTAACTCAGAACCTAGGCACATTAAATACCCCATATTTTAGTAGCATAGAATTTTACAGTTGAAAGGCATCTTTTAGCTATAAAAGATAATTTTCATCTTGGAGACTAGGCTTAAGTCTCTAGAAATATTAGCGTCAAGAGATACCTTGAAAAATACAAACAAAAAATTCCTCATCAGCCTTACTGTCTTTCTGCAAGTTTATGCATGCAGAGCCAAGCCATAGCCCCTTCTAAAGAGTAAAAAAGTGCAAGATACTAAGGTAAACAGCTTCTGGATAATATGCATCAAATTGATATCAGGTTGCATGACCATACATTATTATAAAGAAAAATGATCTTTCCTTACAGGTAATATGAAATCCTCAGGACTTAAATCAAACCCAGCCTCAGAACAGGCAGTCCGGGTTGTGTCCTGTCCGTTAATGGCCACCTGTATCGCTCTTGTCAACAGTTGGGCATCATACCTATCAAACACCGTCCCAGATGTGACAATTAAAGTTTCACAATTCCGGGCTTCAGAACTCTCCTCAGTGTGCACAGTGCATTTCCAGTTTGCTGGAAGTCAATCCATTTTCACTTGCACAGTGTGGTACTCACTCAAACATTTCCCTTCCTCATACCCGGAGGGTATAAACCTTCAGCACACTTTATGAGCTAATGGTCTGCACAGCGTCTTGATTCACTGAGACCCAGGGAGAAATGATGTCACACATTTTCCAACAGAAGATATGCTCACTGAGGCAATGTTCAAACAAACTGCCAGCAAAGCCAACCAAAATTCTAAGGACGGTGAAAAACAACATTAAAAGACTTTTATTCTACCAGTTTAGAGTTACCAGGTTCCGCCTTCCCAGCGCCAGCCCTTCTGCTGGTCACAAGGCAGCCCTTGTTTCATTCTAAGCCTGTGTTTCATTCTAAGATGTGCAGTTTATTAAGGCTCCAACCTACCATCGCTGCTTCCCCTGAGGACTACATCTGGCGAAGGTGTCTGCCGGGAACGGGAGCCAAAGGAATCCAGGCTGTCGAAGGAATCATCTCTGCCGTGGCGAGGGGGAGACAGGGAGTCACTGCGCTCAGAATCCCAGCAGTCGATGTAACCACTGTCTCGGATACTACGTTTAGGACTCTCGATGTCATCAGTCTCCTGTCCAAAAAGAAAATAAAATTACAGACATTACGGCAACAGACGTTGAGCCTTCAATCCCCGGAAAATCAGCCTTCCGTGGTCTCCAAACAATCCTGTGTCTAGCACCAGTATGGACAGGTTATAGCAATCAGTTAGCAAATGGCTTATCATCTACAAGCCAACATTTCATTCTCCAACCCTTCCCTGCTGCAACTTTCCCAATCAGAAAATCACACACTTTCAGGGGAAAAAAAAAGTCCCCATGAACTCCTGCTCCACAGTCTTCAAAAAAAAAAGAAAAAAGGAAGAATAAAAGATCGTCTAGTGTGGGTTCACAAGAATACAGTGATAAATGAAAACAACAAAAAAAAAAGAAAACTAAAACCTTAACCTTGACCCGTCTTTCGGAATCCATAACTGCATGTCTGTTCTGGGACAGAGCCCCGAGCTTAGCGGTGCAACTGCTCCTGTTTATGCGATCTGGCAAATGCACCCAGCATTTGTTGTTGCAACAGAATCAGATCCGTAAAATCCTGGAGCAGCGGGCTTCCATCTCCTGCTACCTTGAAGGGAAATTCCTGCTCTGAAAGGGAGCTGTCTTTCTGAGGCAAAAAGTTAAAAAAAAAAAAAAAAGCAATGAAAAATATGCAAAAGCTTTTCCTGATGCCTCAGAAGAATCCAGGCATGCTCTCGCTCTCAGCCAGCTCCTGGCGCTGGGGGAGCTGAAAGCACTTGTGGCTGACCCACATGTTCAGAGCAGCGAGAACAATGGCTGCCTTTGACAGCCTGTGATTATAAATTCTTTTCAGCGCAAGCAGCACATACTAAAACACTGAAATTCCAGCAGGAGAAAGGTCAGTCAAAGCCATCCTCACCCTCGTATTATAATAAAAGCCTTGTTCCCGCCAGTGTCTTAGCATTAATTACAATAGTCCAGGCTGACGAAAACAAAAATAACTCTGGTCACTCAAAGATAAACCTCAATTTAATCTCCCCCAGACGGCTGCTTAAAATTGGGGTTGTGGATGATATTGTTCTCGTCTGCAGAGACTGGAATGTCACACTGTGGATTTCCTGGGATGCTCAGGAAAGTCCCTTCCACATTCCCAATGGGAAGAAAAAAAAATTCTCCATTGTCGAGATTTTGGAACCTGTCTATCTATACTGGCCAATAAGTCCAAGGGAGGCAATCAATGCCTTTGTAGAAAGCGCCTTTGCCAGCTGCTTCTATCAACTGTATCCTGGTCCTGTGACACAATCCCCAGTGGGAGGCACTTGGAGGGGACGGAGTGGCTGTAATTCACAAGGCACACACAGGTTTTGCCTCAAGAGAAGGGAATGGGAGAGAGGAGAAGGGCAGGGTTGAGAGGAGCCCCCGCAGCCTCCACACTGAGGACCTGAGTCGTGGCCCCGAAGAATAGGTTGTCAAATGGCCTGGGTGAGTGGAGCCCATACAACTCTCCAGAGGAAGGCAGGAATTCCAGCTATGGAAATTAAGGTAGTTGACTTGTAGGTCAAAAGTTAACCAGGACTTAAACAAAAGCTCAGCCTGGAAAAAGAACTCAAGACTAACTTTTTTAGTATGGATCTAAATTGGATACGGTTTCATATTTCATTTCTCCAGAAAGGCAAATAATTATCTTGGATTATTTATCCACAGATTGTAAGCCAACTGCTTAAAAATGAATATCATTTTTATTGAACACTTACTATATGTCTGAGGCTATGCTTGATGCTTTTTATACGTTTTATTATTTAATCCTTACACCTTCCCATGCCAGTGATGTGGTTAGCATGGTCTCCATTTTTCAAAAGAGAAAAGTAAGAATCAGACAGAAGTAGTAACCTGGACACAGTAAGCACCAACGCTGCACAGTAAAGCCACACAGTAAGCACCAACGCTCCGATCCCAACGCGGGTGCCTGCCTTTAGATCCCAAGGTGAAACCTAACAGCATTCGATCAGCTCTGCTGTAGTTGCAGCCGCCCCCATCAGCACCATCACTGCTTCCAATGACTAGAGTCTGCCCCCTTACTCTGTGGATGAGGGTAGCCTGGATAACATCCCTTCACAGTGTTCAAAAAAAAGAAAAAAGGAAGAATAAAAGATCGTCTAGTGTGGGTTCATAAGAATACAGTGATAAATGAAAACAACAAAAAAAAGAAAACTAAAACCTTAACCTTGACCCGTCTTTCGGAATCCATAACTGCATGTCTGTTCTGGGACAGAGCCCCGAGCTTAGCGGTGCAACTGCTCCTGTTTATGCGATCTGGCCATTAATGGCAAAAAAAATGCCATTTATGCCCCGAGCACCAAACTACAAATACTGCTAAAGAGAGGCAGTTAGGGGCAGGTTAGAGCAGGTGAACAGCACATCTTGGAAGCCCAGGTGACTGGGTGTAAATCCTGGCTCTGCCCCTTGTCAGCCGTATGACCTTAGCCAAGTTATGCTACCTTGCCCACAATCAGTTTTGTCATCTGTAAAATGGAGCAAATAATAACATCTATTTCACAGAATTGCTGGGAGGGTTAAGTGTTACTAGATGGAAAACATTCAGAAAAATGCCTGACCTATGGTGAGTATTCAAAATGTGCTAGCTATGGTTATAATTACTACTGGGTATTCATCTGTGTATGTAAATAGCAATATATAAATCACACAAAATTTGTAAATGCAGTTAAAAACACAACCACGTGTGTTTTAGTGTATAGTTACATACACATTGAAAACTCTTCTTTCTTTGTCTTCATTTATATCCCATATATACATGCTTTGGCCTAATTTCCCAAAAGGGAGAGCAGACACTCAGGTAGCTGTGACACTAGTTACATCTAGAAATGACAAATTTTACAAATTGCTTGGGGGCAGCAACACAAAGCTGAATTTTGAAGAAAATAGTATCAAAAAGGTTCTCCAAAAGGCCCAAATGTTTCCCCCACTCATACTCTACAAGCCATAGGAGAAGAGAGAGGAAGACAAAGTCAACATGGTTCTTGGAACTTCAGCTCTTTCTCACAGCTAGCTATGGAAAGAAAAACAGAAAGGCCATTCTGTTCATGACTGCATAGAAAGCCAAGAATAAAACCTTGGATCAAGTGAGAGCTGAAAGCTGAATGGTATGGCCAGTTTGAAAAGTGAAAACCAGGCCACCCATGGCCATCCTTGGCCATGCTGGTCCCATGGAAACTTGGAGTGAAGCAAGAGGCTGGTTCTTCAGCCAGAAATAAAGATGTAGACACAGCTAGATGGACAATTGTATGGATTCTATCAAGTCACCTACAGTTAAGTTTTGCAGAGAGAGTGGAAGACATAAAGCAACACAATGGTACTTTTTAAATTCTTCTTTCTTAGGGTCTATTTATGTCATTTCTGTTTTCACCTAGAAGCCCAGCTTCTACAGAGAGCACTCCAGGGAAGAGAGATAAGACTCCAGTCTGATATAAATCCCATTTGTTTATTTTTTTTCTTTTGTTTCCCTTGCTCATGGTGATATATCAGAATAAAAAATACTGCTGCAAGAAATGTCCTAGGTTTTACTGCCTATGTTTTCTTCTAGGATTTTTATGGTTTTTGAGTCTAAAATTTAAGTCTTTAATCCGTTTTGAGTTTATTCTTGCTTATGGTATAAGAAGGTGGTCTAGTTTCATTTTATTGCATGTATCTGTCCAATTTTCCCAACGCCATTTATTGAATAGAATCTCTTTACCCCACGGTATGTTTTTGCCTCCTTTGTCAAATATTGACTGCAGAGGTGTAGGTTTACTTCTGGGTGCTCTATTCTGTTCCATTGATCTATATGTTTGTTTTTATGCCTGTACCATGCTCTTTTAATTACAATAGCCTTGTAGTCTAGTTTGATATAAGGTAGCAAGATTTCTCCAACTTTGTTCTTTCTCAAAAGTTTTTTCACAGAAAAGGAAACTAACAACAAAATGAAAAGACAACCTACTGAATGAGAGAACATATTTGCCAATATATCTGGTAAGAGCTTGATATCTAAAATTTATAAAAAACATGAAACTCAATGCCAAAAAACCCCAAACAATCCAAGTAAGAAGTAGGCAAAGGACCTGAATAGATATTTCTCAAAAAGGACATACAGAATACACATATGAAAAGATGCTCAACATCACTAATAATTAGGTAAATGCAAATTAAAATCACAATGATATTCACCTCTCACCTGTCAGAGTGACTATCATCAATAAATCAATCAACAAGTGTTGGCAAGGATGAGAAAAGGAACCCTTATGCACTGCTGGTGGGAATGCAGATTGGTGCAGACACTGTGGAAAACAGTATGGAATTTCCTCAAAAAATTAAAAATGGAACTGCCTTATGACTCAGAAATTCTACTTCTGGGAATTTATCAAAACAAACCAAAACAAAACACCCCGAAACACTAATTTGAAAGACTGTATGTGCCCCTAAGTTCACTGCAGCGCTATTTACAATAGGCAAGACTTGGAAGCAGCCCAAGTGTCCATCAGTAAATGAATGGATAAAAAAGCTGTGGCACATTTACATAATGGAATACTACTTGGTCATAAAAAAGGAAATCTTATCTTTTGCAATAGCATGGATGGACCTGGAGATTATTATGCTAAGTAAAATAAGCCAGTTAGAGAAAGATAGTACCATATGGTTTAACTTACATGTGAAATCTAATGAAAAAATAGAAAGAGACTCATAGATATAAGAGAACAGGCTGACAGTTGTCAGAGGGGAAGGGGGTTGGGGGATGGGTAAAAAGGCTAAAGGACTAATCAAAGGAAAATAACAGACACAGACAACAGTATAGTGATTACAAGAGGGAAATGGGGCTAGAGAGGAATTAGAAGAAGGTAAAGAGGGGATAAATGGTGATAGAAGGAGAACTGACTTGGGTAGGTGAACACACAATGCAATATACAGATGATGTATTATAGAATTGTATACCTGAAACCCATACAATCTTATTAACCAATGTCACCCCAATAAATTCAGTAAAAAAGACTCCAATCTGTCCACGGTGGTAATTGCTGGTTGTTCCAGTAAAAGTGTGTAAATGAATGGGGTGAGAACAACCAGCTTCCATGACATTTTTGAATTATTTCACTCATCTGTCCTCTTCTCATTCCCTTTTGTCAGAGATAATGAGAACCAGCGAGTGTTGGTGGATGACTTTTGGTATCTGAGAAACTCCAGATGGCCTCTGCTTTACCACCCAACATTTTCTTCTTCCATTGTGATTTATAAGGTGGCTCAGTACTATTCTGGAAGGTTTCCAGGTTCTACTTTTCCAGGCTGATGACTCATCTCCACCCACCACACTCTGGATGAGGAAGCTATATATTCCATGGGTACTTACTGAGCATCAAATATGCGCCAGGCACTGTCCTAGTGGTGGGAACACAACATTCTATAAAATTGATAAATACCTCATTCTCATGGACCTTATGTTCTAGTTAGGAAGACAAAATATAAACAGACAAAAAGATAAATGAACACAATTTGGGTGGTAAGTATCAATGAAAAATAAGGCAGGTTAAAGGAAGAGAAGTTGATGGTGGTTGCGATGTTGGGCCAAGGTCTGGGCTTCTCCATCATGCTCCCTCCCTTTATCCCCTTGTCCTGGTTAACAATCCTCACTCCCTGAAACAGTGGCGGCTTAGGCCAATCATGGCACCCCTTGCCCCTGGCCACACTGGCTAGTTCAGAAAGAGGACCCATACTGGGTCAGAGTATACCACTAGGAATTTTACAGCTGGGACGAGGGGGAAGAATTCCCTGCCTTTCTGGGCAAGTAGCTAGAAGCAGGTCATCCTGGGGATGCTGCTGGCAACATTCCCTGATGTGAGGGAATGTTTGCCTATTGGAGGAGAGAACGACTTCAAGGAGAGAGAGAGAGAAATGAGGGAAAGAGAGAAGAACCTAGACTGCTGACTTTCTAATTCCAGTCTCTGAGATCCCAAAGGCCATCTTGTTCCCCTGGTTCTACCTTCAATCTCTATTCTCATAGTCATTCCCCTTTGTTCAGTTCAGGAGTCCCCTCCTATGGAAGACTTCCTCTGACATACCCAGGCTCAGTGAAAGGCCGCTGTCACTATGCCTTCAGAGACCTATTTTGGATATAGGAACAGCAAACTACTATGAGTTCCTACTATGGACCGGGCACTTACACTAAGGACTCTACATGTGCCACTTGTGTTACGGAACTTAACAAGTTGCACCGTAGTCAACAATTTTTATGCACATTTCTCCCAATAGAAAAAATGAACCTAAAAAAATTCTGGCTAGTCTCTTTTGTGAAAGAAAAAATTTTGACTTCAAATTTATTTCAGCCTGTATATGTGCTGAAGAGATGACTATGGTCTTTCCATATCTGTTCTCCACTCCTTTTCCAGTGAAAATACCCAGTTTTGGGCTGAAATTAAATCTCCTTTTCCCAGGTCTTTTCTTACAGCTAGCTATGGATGTGTGAGCAGGTTTATCAGGTTGACAGAATGTGAGCAGAAGCGTAGTGTATGACTTGCGGAAAGTGTGTTTAAAGGGAGGACGTAGGCCCTTCTCCTCCTCATCCCTCCTCTCTCCTGACTCAGATGTGGACACGGGGGCTAAAGCTCACACAGTCATCTTGAACCAGCGGGCGGGGAGCTCTGTGGGTTGAGGGTGATGGAGCAAAAGCACAGACGGAGCCTGGTCATGTCCAGACCTCATGTACAATATGTGACTTCAAAATAAAATTCTATCTTATTGAAGCCACTGTTTGACTTTTTTCTGCATTTTACAGCTGTACCCAATCCTAATTGAGAAAATGAAATAATATGTATTCCAGATTAACTCCTATTTCCAGGTATTGGATAGACCTGTAAAGTTCAGGTGAGTTACTCTCTGCTTTATATAGAAATATGGGACTGCCACAGCCTGCCATTTTAGTTGTCATGTTTTGTCCATGGATAACTACACTCCCATGTCCTGTGATGTTATTTATAGTCATTAAAAAAGGGAACAGCTGTTCACAATAGCAGGCCATTTCAAGGCAGCTGAAATAACCAATTGTCTCAACAGAAAGCAAAGCTAAGAAAGTTGGAGAAACCACTGTTCTGATAGTAGAGGAGCTGGACTAGTGGTAAGAAATGCCAATAACAAGAATAAATCAGATTCCAGGAGAATCCCGCAGGGGAACTGTGAGGCAGAGCTTTTAAATATGCGGTTGAAAAGAAATCACCCATCTATCATTATTCAAGTCTAAATTTAATATATACAAAAAGTTTAGATTTCATAAATCCAGGCTGGACCTGTACCGATTCGTACTTTCTCTAACAAGAGTTAGATGAAAAATTAAAGGATAAATAAGAGTCAAGAGACACTAAGAAACAATGTATTGTGCCTAAAGGACTGGGTATGTGGGTATGTTTTTTTAAAATAACTTAGGTCTAAAACTTTGTTGACATGTATTATGACCAACATGAAAACTTTGTCCTTTTACAAAAATGTGAGCCAGACTGGCTCAAGGCAAATGAGAAGAACAGTGAGAGCTATTAGCTTTAATTCAAGGGGGAAAAAGACTAAATTATTAGAAAGTTGGAGCAAATTCTTGCTTTCAGTACTGAAAGAAAAATTTTAGAGGAAGGAATGTCTCTCAATGAGGTCTCATTAGTGCATTTAGTTAGCATGTTAGAGAAAAAGAAGAGTGAGGCCTTAACTGATTCGTGCCACAATGTGGGCCTTATCCAAAACCCAGGAATGCTCTTGATTACAAATGAGCCTTACCTATTCACTGAGGCTGGCTGGGTGGGGCTTTTCTCGAGTAATACTATATCCTAGGACTTTGAATGAGTTAATCTATACTTCTGAACTTTAAAAAGGAACACACAGGCAAGCGCACATAAAATGCCCCACTGTTTCCTTGACAAATCCTACCGTAGGTCTTTCCCACAATCAAATAAACAAAACTTTAAACATTGTACAAAAATGTTGTTCAAAATTTCCAGCCCATTCAAATACAATAGCCATGAAAGGCACATCTTGGAAGAGAATGTGTCTACTTATCAGAGCCTGTCCAGGGCGGATGCCCAGGCAAGAAGCTGGCTGACGTTACCTCACCCACACCAGAGCCCTGACGGGTAAGCAAAATGACCTTTAGGACAAAAGTGCAGAACAAGTCTTCATTTTTGTATAATGCTGTATTGTTTAATTCAGGCATTATTCCCCCCAAGAAAACAAGCACTGAGCTCTTTGGCACACAAAGCCATATACTGATGGATTGAATGTGCTCATTTGGAATTACAGTTGGATGAGCTCAGATCCCTCATTCTCCAAAGGGTATAAAAGTTCAGGTGAGTGCAGAAAACATGAGGCAAAGATGTCATTGGTAAGGACGTCACTGGGAAGACAAGGGGTCGTTTCCTTCAGTGCATGACCTCTTTGGCCCAATTGATTCCACCGTGCAGAGCTGGAATGACCTTAAAAACAAGCCAGTGGGTTGCTTTCTCACCTTGTCGAAACTTCATGGGATAAAAAAAGAAAAGCCAAGTTACCTTTCTCATCTGAGCCAGCAAGCCTTCAAACTCCTTCAAGTTCAGCGTCGTTCCACTGTAGGATGCACAGCTATTCGCTGCCTTTCCCAGCCAGTAAATGGTAACTAATACCTGTGAAACAAAACCATGCACAAGAGCGGGGGGATTTTCTCTCAAGAATCACTTTTAAACTAAGGAATCAATAATGTCCCACTAACAGGGAAGCAGTAAGGTGAGAACGTGCAACGTTGATTTACGAAAACCATCACCCATGAGGTATCTATTACATGTAAAATCATTCTAATAAGAACCCAATGCTGTATCAGTCAACACAATCATGATTCAGTAGTTAAAGTAAGACCCCCGTGGTAAGAAGAGTTCATCTATAAGACAGCAAGAAGAAAATAAATAAATCCTCTACAATTATTTTTGTATAATGAAATAGTCAAATATTCAAAATTAGGAAGCAGAATTTTTCATTTTGCTTTGGAGTCTTTACCTAGACGAGTAGTGACTAGGTTGGCAATTCCCGTGGAGGGAGGTGCTTTCACAGGCCTACACTTGCTACTTGTGGGCACAGAGGTCCGGCTAAGACCAACGGCAAAAATCCCAGCAAAGTGATACAAGTTCATTAGTGGCTTCCAGCCCAAGACCAACACAACATATCTAAGTAAAGTCAGAAGAAAGCAATGCGATGAAGAATAGGATGTGCAGATATCTAGTGTGGGGGTACAGGTGAACTCTCATTAATCTGAGAAGAGAATTACTGAGCCTGGACAAGTTTACTGCCAATTAAACTATCATAACAGTCAGAGACATTTAACATGTTTAAGAATGTCTATGAATATTCAGGGGTCTGAAGCCACAGCCCTAAGATATTTTGTTCTGTCTTTCCAAAGAAACTCTTCACAAAAGCAAATGCTCTTCACACCAACGTTCCCATAAAACCCAGCAGGGGTTGGCTGAAGATGAGTCCCTAACACTGAATTATTGGGATCTTGAAGCTTATGGAAAAGCCAAAACTATTATTTTATTTTATTTTCACATATGGTTTTATTGCTTCAGCCAGGATGGGAAGTACTTACTGCACCTCTCTTCACTTGCTAGGCCAGACAGTGCTTCGGAACATGTCATGTGGACCTGGGGTCAGATGACAACAGGCCCAAAATACGGTTACGTGCCATCGATGCTTTGATATGATTTGGTTTTCTACCTCTGTGGGAAAATTTTACTTCAGGAAGCCTTCTAAACTTCCAGAAAGTCTTTTTGTTTTTTATTTTTTAACTGATTGCTCACAAATAAATTTCCAAAGAACAGACAACTGCAAATGTCAGGACATTAACTAGGACCATAAAATAGCTGATGTGTGCTAAGGGAGTAGGAGGCTCTCCTGCAAGGTGTCATCAGAGAAAGGAAAACACAGCAGTGTTCAGTTTTAGATGGTAGTTCCTGATTTGTTTAAAATTGTGTGATGAAAAATGGCATATTGCCCTAGTTTTGTAGAAGAAGAAAAAGAAGGTAAGAATGAGGCTGGCAATCAAATATAATAGCACCCTAGACATTAAAAAGAGGGGGATGTCACAGCTATTTTTCTATTTTATATGCAGAAGGTTATTTCTTACATCCCTCTATTTAATCTTTAAATAAAAGTGTGGCAATCTGCTTGCCTTTTGAAAATAAGATCTAACTCCAGAAAGTTGCTTTTGGGAAGTACAAATAAAAACTCAAAAGATTAATAGGGAAAAAAAGTACAGACCCATGACAGTCAACACTATTCATATTGTGCTGATCTTTCCCTAAAACAATTTGTTCAACTGCTTAATTTAATAATCCCAAATGTGCCTACCAACAGGAAGAAACTAATATCAGTACTGAGAAATCACTTTGTGTTTAAGAAACTGAATCAAAAACAAGGCCCAGGCTTTTATTTGTTTATTTCTGGATTGAGAACATATTAATTAAAGAGACCTCCCCCAATCTACCATTTTTATTTCTATTATAGTCATTAATTATTCTTTCAGAGACACATATACTAATTTTCCAGGACTCTTTCTAGCAAGGCATACGAAAGGTATTGAATGTCCGGACAAAATTTTACACTTGAACCATCAAAGTCAAAAGGAATAAGTTTGGAAAGTAAAGTTAAAAACACTTACATTTTTCAGCTTCCTACTATAATCAATGCTCCTAATTAAGGAAAAGGAAAAAAAATATGATCAGAACAGCAGTTTCTTGACTCTGATCTTCCCTTAAACACCTCTAAGATGTACTTGAAGTTAACTAATATAATGAAACCAGGAAAATACAATATATTTAAGGCTTATGATTATTATTTCAGGTACTAAGTAAAATTATTTAGACAACAGAAGGTAGGCTTAACGGTCCATGGTGTCCCATGAAAAGACGAACGTTTCATAACATCTGGAAAATGAAGAATTCCATTTAAACCCCAGGCTGTTTATGTTTGTATTCTCAAAGTTTAACTGTTAAAATAAAATTCTCCCTTAATTATAAACCACTGTCAAATGAAAATCTGACTGCACTTTCAAATATTTTTCATACAAGTACTTTATTTTTATATATATATCTCCTCACCCGAGGAGATTTTTTTCATTGCTTTAGAGAAAGGAAGGGAGACAGAGAGAGAAAAAGAGAGACAGAGACAGAAAGAGACAGAGAGAAAGACACACACATCAATGTGAGAGAAACAATGATTGGTTGCCTTCTCATACACACCCAGACCTGGGACTGAACCCATAACCTGCGCCAACTGACAGGGAAATGAACCCTCGAACCTTTGGCTATGGGATGATGCTCTGACCAACTGATCCACACCAGCCAGGACTTCATACACATACTTTTAACATAGGTCTAAAACCTTAATTAAATAAACCTGAAAAGATATGTGTAAGAGGAAATACTATCCAAATATTTGTCCTTTTCTGCTAGGGACACAAATTTGTGTTCAGGATTAGCTACCAGCAAGAAAATATGCATGCTATGTTTAAATATACACATGTGCCTTCTTAAATATACACAAATATTTATTCTCAAACTATAAACGAATAAGCTAATTGGTGGTACTTTCTAAATATTCATACAGTGAAATATAAAAATTTCTCCAAAATTATTCCCAAGTTCCTTTAACATGTCAACAAATAGACATTAGGAAAAATAGATTGTGTGTGTGTGTGTGTGTGTGTGTGTGTGTGTGTGTGTGTTCACAATAACTTCAGGTGGGGAGGCAAGAGGGAGAACTTAAACTACTGTATAAGCCAGTTAAGAATTCCTTTGAGTTTCTAGACTCCAGCTACTTCCTCACTGCATATTCTGACCCTAAATTACGTATTAATGAATAGGTGCACAATTTAAAGTCAACTGAAGTCTGAAGAAGAGAAAACAATGTAGTACATACTAAGATAAATCCACTGGTCCAATTTGGATTTGATTAAGAGAATGTTTTCATGAAACATTCCTTTTAACAGAAAAAAATGATCTGTCATTAGATATTTGCTAGGATTTTTAAAAAAAATTTAACAAAAACAGATAAAAACAAAAAGCCTATAAAAGATTCAAATTTTTTTTTATAAAAAACAAGTTCAGAACAGAGCACACAAAACTTTTTTCTGCACTGACAATAAAAGTTCATTGATTAAACCTGTGACCCAGTTCTGTAAAATCACATTTGGCACACAGTAGGAGCTCACAAAATATCTGCTGAATGACTTCCACGCAGCCATCGATTATGTGAAAATGCTTCCACATTTTTCAGAGAGACACTCAGGAGCAATGCAAAGCCTTTGTCCGTTTTCATCCAATTGTTCCGATCCCCTGGAATGATACTCGCCGCACGCCCTCTGGACTCTGCTTTCATTCCCCATCGAGGTTGTCTGGGCTCCATTACAGGCAGAGCTCACTAAATTACACGTGTCGTAATCATTTGCAGGCTTTTCCTTTTATTTTTTTCGCTTTAGTCTGCTCAAGTTACTTCTCAAAAAAAATGTAAGAAAAATTACCTAGAATGAAAGCTAAACTAACAAGTGTTTTTTAAAAAACAATTTCAGAAAAGCATCAAGATTTTCTCTGTGGGATCTACCCCTGTAACTTATTGCTTATGGTAGTAATTGGCGTCAGTGGGGTGTCCCCCAACTCTACTAATGTTCTGCTCAACTCTCAGAGGAAAAAGCGGAGACATACAGCAGTTCCACTTTAACCTACAAGAGCTACAAAGCCTACGTATGGTGCAAATGTCCTATGTATTGTGCCAAATTAACCAGCACCATTTACAGAAATACTATAAGCTGAAAGCTCATCTGTGCCCCACTCTCATTAAAATTAGAGACAATTTTCTAAGTACTGTAATAAATTTATGGCATAATTTTAACATAAAATTATTTATGTTCTAAATATTCCTACAGTGAAATAAAATTTTTTCTCCATAACTCTCCCAAGTTCTACATCCTCCCATGCTTGTGGACTGGCCCTCCCCCTACATTTCACCCTGCTTGGTACCCTCCTACCACACTGACTACTTTTCTTTTTAAATATCAAGTTGGTTTCTCTTCCCCAGATTTTCTGTATGTTCTTCCTTTGCACTCCGTGCCTTATGCATGGCTGGCTCTTGCTTCCCATTCATGACTCAGCCCTCAGCTGAAATTCTGCTTCTTCAGAGAGGTTACTCTTGATCACCTCTGGACGGGTTACTACCTTCTTTTTGTTCAGTTTTATTGAACTACATGGACATATAACATTGTATAAGTTTAAGGTCTACAGCATAATGATTTGATATATCCATTAGTGTGATAATCACTGTCTTTCACATTGTCTATGTTTTCTTCTCAGCACTTAACCACTTCCTACGATTTCTTTTTTATTTACTTAGTTATTTCTCATTTGTCGACACTGGGTATGAATTCCATGTGAGCAGGAGGCACTGGCTTTCTTGACTGTTCTGGTTCCCTGGTCCTGGAAAGTGTCTGACGTAGACTGGCTGTTCAGTCAATATTTGTTGAATGAACGAAAGAAAAATGATAGTGTCACAGGGGAAGATGACAGAAAAGTATTGCCTCAAGAAAATATTATTGCTTAAGTGAAGGAAAAATTAAAAAGGGAAGAAACTGAGGAGAAGAAATGCAAAAGGGAAGACAAAAAAAAAACAAGATAAAAAAGGGAAGGGAAGCACAGGGAAGAGGAGGAGATGAGAAAAAGAAGCAGAAGGGAATGGTAAAGGACAGAAAAGACTAGGAGGAGGCGAAGACGGGACAGTAACTGAGAAGTGACAGTGTCTGTGTGCCACTGGTCTGTGGCATTTTCCCCTTCCGGTTGTTTTCTATGCCTTTGAATTAAAGTCTCTTTTTTTCAGAAATTGGTTGTGAATCATCTCAGATCTGCACTGAGCAAATTTTAGCTAGAATTTGGGTGACACACCTAAAAAGATACAGATGGAAGGCTAGACCCCCGACTTCCTGATACCCAGTTTTTTTGTAGATAAGCAAGAAAGGCACTAAGAGTTCTGAGTTTCTAAAAGCAACTTCAGCGTTCTCCTGGCTTAGAAACATATTGATTTAAAGCAGCTTTAAAAAGTGAGTAAATATGTCAAAGTGAACTTTCCCCCACCTCCCAAGCAATGTATGTATGACTAATTATTACGTTGCATAGTTACCAGTTACTATTGTTTCTGGTCACTTGCCACCAGGTGAGAAACTACAATGAGAGATGAGGCAGAACCTGAAACTTCCTAAAATAAACAAAATTTATGGAGGCTGGGTACAATAATAAATGGAGCATGTGATGACAAAAATGAGGTTTATGGTGGTTTCCATATTCAAATATCATAATTTTTATTCTGTTATTTTTGCCCTTAACCAACATTTTTTCATGAGAAATATTAAAGAATGGCACATTAACAACAGAGAAGTAATTTTATATAATCAATCATGCCTGGCTCTCTCATTTCCAGGCACAAATCATAAAATACAATATAAACTCCTAACTTGATTTCATTCAGTAGTTCCCACTTTCCCCATCACTTAAAAAAAAATCAATACTGTCAAATAATATAAAATTAACAGCTCTGATTTTTGGCTTCTCTCCCTTTTCTGTTTTTCTACAATAAAATAACCCAAAATTAATCAAAAGAAATGTAGGCAATTCACAGACCCTGTCCATGTAATTAAGCTTATTATTAAGGTATATTCAGGCTAAATACTGTTTGACTAAAGTGAAAATGTTTTATATGCAATGTGTAGAGTGCAAAGGACTTCTAAACTACAGAAAACTTATCCCCACCGTCTCGTGAGAACTTTTTTCTCATTACTCCAGCCACGATGTACTTCTTTGCAGAGAAGCACACTGCCTTTTCTTTTGCTTTGACACTCTTTCCCTGGAATTCTTTGGCCCCAAACATGGCTCATTGAGTAGATACAGTCAACAATAGCCAAATGGCCTATGATCCATCTTCAAAGAACTTGATCATTGACACATAGGAGAAAACAGTTACAAATGTAAATGAAGAAGAGATTTCTCCATAATCTATTGCTCTCTTTGCATAATAAACAGAGTTCAGATCTGTTTACCAAGTTTGCAGTCTTCCAAGAGCCTATTCAAATGCCCAAATGGAGCCAATAAAAGCTTTTTGTCTAACACACACAGATTCTGTGCATATTTCTTACTTGCCTCTCCCTCCTTTAAGTTTCACCTAACATTTTTCTCCTTCTCTTTAACATTCTAACTCTATAGGAGTGGTGTTTACATGTCAAAAAATTCTATTTGATCAGAATGAAAGCTATACATAGAGGGGAGGTCAATATGTCTTGTTTTGAAAGTTTGATTTTTTACCGTCACATTTTTATTTTATTAGGCATGCCCAAGTGTCTGCCTCTTATACCTTAAAACACCATCACAAAACTGCAAATCAAACCATAAATGGGCTTCTCTTAAAAATAAGTCGTGCGCCACTTACTTGAGTGTTACTCTGTTGGATGTATCCTGTAGGTCGCTAGGGTCAAAAAGTTGAGATTCTTTAAGGCCGAGCTCTTTACAACCTCTCAAGAATAAGATGATGTTGTCCTGGAAGGAAGAAAAGAAATCGGAGTCTGTATTATTTTATATTACCTTTGTGAACCAGCCCCTTCTCTTTCATGGTCCAAATTACTAGAAGGATATCCGTTATTAAGGCAGCAAGAGTCAGGTCTAAATCATGGTTTGTTGAACTGGAAAAGGCATACTTTGTTAGGATATTCTGGAATAAAGATGCTTCAAACTTCCAAACCCACAGCCATGCCGAATTCATTCTTTTTCTTTACCTTAACACGCTGTTGTAAAATTGCAAGTAAAATATTGAAAAGCCGACTTAGCATCTTTTGGGGGAACAATACTCCCAAACCAGATATTCCCCATTGTAAACTTCTGTCCATGTCTTATTGTCTACAATCGGGTTCAAAATTTATATAAAAAATTGGTTTTACTACTCGAGTGTTCATCTTCAATAAGTGTTTTTAAAATTGATCATCTAAAATACATTCATTATCAATGGGTTTTCACTGATAATACCTTTTTGTGGACAAAACACTGAATTAAATGGGAAAAAAAATCTAGATTTAATTGGGCAGGGAAAGAGGAGCAAGGAAAGCTTTTGAAAATAATGCAAAAGACCCTCCTCACAGTGCAAATTTCTTCTAGCAGGTATAAATATACTTTGAACTGGCAGAGTAGCAGGCACAATGGCCAGTTAGGGAGGGTTCTGGTCGTCATCTGTAGGAAGTCATTAAAAATAAACAAATAGCTCTGGAAGGGACTGCAATTGTGGGCCATCCCCTGGAACTCTGGGGTATTGGCAGCAGTTCAGCAGTTACAAGTCTCTGTTCTTTTCTTAAAAGACTTCTGACGAGCTAGCTGGCCCCACCAGTTGGGGAAAGTGACAGGGGAGGAATGATAAAAGTTGGCTCCAGAAGCCACATCAATATGAATCCACCTGAATACTGTACGAAAGATGCTATAAAAATCTGAAATGATGGTGGCGGTTACTGAATCATGTACCCACCTGAATGCCATTCAAGAAAGCAAACAGAAAGCAGAGTTCTTCCCAATAATCCAGTGCATAGGTGAGGTTGTAAGATGACCCCCAAGAATCCCACCCCCTGGTGTGTACATCCTGTATAAACGTCTCCCTTTGAGTGCCTGTAGAGCCATGACCGTGAGGGGAGAGCATTCTCTGATCACGTTACTCATCAGCTGGCTTTCAGTTAATCAAAAGAAAGATGATCTGATTGGGTCTGACCTAACCAGGGAAGCTCTTAAACCAGGTAAAGTCAGCGTTCTTGGTGGCCATGATTTCTAAGGCTGTAAGGAGATGCATTCTGTCAACAGCCACATGAGCTTGGAAGAGGCTTGGATGAAGCTCAAATAGGACCTCAGCCCCCTCCAACACCAGGATTTCAGCCCTGTGAGGTCCTGAGCAAAGAAGCATGTCCATCCTTCTGACTGCAGAAACCAAGATAATAAATGGGTGTTGATTTAAAATGGGTGCTACTTATAGTAGTTTTCTATGCAGAAATAAAAAACAAACAAACAACACCCAGGCTCAAAACAACATAGACAATATCAATAAACTAACATTTAACATCTATCTCGTCCTCTTTATATGCTAAGCATTCTTCCAAGAGCTCTACATCTATTAACTATTTAACCTCTGCACAACCTAGCGAGGTAGGTACTACTTTCATCCTCATTTACAGATGAGCAGGCTGAGGCACAGAACGATTAGGCACCTTGTCCAAGGTCACACAGCCAGCAAGGATGAGGGTGCAAAACAAGGTGCCATAGATGAATAGCTCGAGCATCAAATCTGAGGTCAGTACCAAAGGAAGATGATGCTGTGGAGTCCGGGGCTGCTCACCCAGGGCCTTGAAGGCCATGGAAGGCAGGCTGGGAAAGTCACAGAGTAGCTGTGACCTGAAAATGAATGCCCAGAGCTGCAGCAGAAGATGACTGTGGGTAGGCCTATGGGGTGGTAGAAAGGGTGAAGGAAGGACTTAAGAGGAAGAAGACAGGAGACGGGGAAGCCAATGAGATACTACAATCTCACTCCCTTCCCCAGCATAGCCCTTCTCAGAATGTGTTCTTTCCTGTGTCCCTGGGATTTTTTCAGCAGGCAAGATGTGCCATCATTCACAAGACCTGTGTAGTTCACAAGGCCTCTTGTAGATGGACAATGAGCTGGTCATAGTGTGACGTCATCCACACACTGGCCAGTCACTCCTTCAACTACTTTGTACATTTGAAATCCCTCCCATCTCCAAAGATTTGTAATGTCCAGGTAAGTTTTTTCCAGGGCATGCAACTATATTTCTGGTTGAGCTGTGAGCTCTGAGGGCTTCCTGCCCAGAGGAAAACAAATGATGTGTCCTGGTACTCTCTAGGAATCATTCAGGACCCAAATGAGAGGACCAGACCTGTAACTACCATGTACTCCTATAGCAGCACATGACTGGGGCACCTCCAATTCTCAAGAGGGACAAGGAGGAACACTTCTGTATGCACACCCAGATGCCTAGAAGCCCAGATGCATGTCTGAGCTCTGTGCTGTATTCAGCACACAGGCTGCGAACACAAAAGCGCTGTGTTACCAGCCAGGCTGAACACTTTGGGCTGGGAGATTTAAATAACTGCAGGTCTCCTTCCAGCTCCTTGCTGCAACCTAATGATGCTGGAGGGGAGCCAGACCCCAGTCAGGAGAAAAGCCAGAAGGAAGAACCCTTCAGCCAAGAGCTAACAGGGGCAGCCACCAGAGTGGGCAGGAAGGACTGTGCCTTTAATTACATAAAATGCAACTTGCAAATTCCCATCTGCCTTGCTCTTCACACTGAGATTTTTCCACATTTATAATTCCAAGCAAAACTCACATATTAGTGTTTTAGCTTCAGAAGCCAAGCAGTACAAAGCATCTCAATTACAAGGGAGAAGTGGAAGACACTGATTTACAACAGTGAGCACTATATTTAGCTCTCACTAATGTAGTACTACAAACCTATTATGATTTTTGTAGGGCTTCAAAAGAAGTTCTATAGGACTCTTCAAAAAAGTCAATGTCATGAAAAAGCAAAACTGGAGATTAAAGAAACATGTTGACCAAATATGATTTATGTTTGGTTGGACTGTATCCTTGATGCAAAAAGGAAAATAAATAAGGCTATAAAAGTCCGATTTAAATACAGACTGTGTGTTGGATGACATATATTGAATGAATGTTAATTTTCTTAGACATGTTGACAACGAGATTGTGGTTATATGAAAGAATGCCTTTATTTTTAAGCAAATATGTGCATTATTAGGGATGAGTTATCATAATGTCTACAACATAATTTCAAATGGTTTGGGGGCAAAATGCTTTTGTGTGCATGCATATGAGAGAGAGAGACAGAGACAGAGACAGGGACAGGGAGAGAAAATGAACATGTTGGCCTGTCATGGAGAAAGAGATACAACAAATACAGCAAACTATCAACAACTGGGTAATCTAGATCAGTGATTGGCAAAGTTCTTCTGTGCCCGAGAGTAAAAATGGCTTCGCGGGCCTGTGGTTGTCTCTGTCACGATGTCTCACCTCCATTTTGTAGCCCAAAATACACACTAAATGGGAGCGTCCGTAGCCCCATGCCCTTTATGCACGAAGCAGGCACTGAGCTGGCTTGGGTCCAGAGCTGTAGTCCACAGGCCCTGGTGCAGGTAAAGAGTCACACAGGCAATTCACCCCTCCATTCCTTTGACTTTTCGGTACATTTGAAAATTTTCAAAAAAATTTTTTTGAGAAAAAGGTTTTTCAAATTTGTGGAAATGTATTCAAGTACATAGGGTGATGACTTCACTGGCAAAACCAATTTCATAAAATTCAAGGAAAAAGCTCGCTCACCTCAGAGACTGCTATTGCCAAGTCACTGAGGTAAATGCTGAAGGACTACTGAGGGAAAGTTACCATTTCTGGCAAAGTGGAAAGTACTGTAACATGAGGCTCCGTCCAACACAGATGCGTAACATAAAGTTCCTAACAGAGTCCATTTTGTGCTGGACTAATGTGAATATATGGATTTATACTGCTCTTCATGTAACTACCATGCATTCATTCCTCCTTGTTCTTGGCCCTGTGGTTTCCCACTTCATTAATGTGGGGGCCTGCTGCACGTATGAAAACATTCCCCAGGGGCCTAGGGTTGAGGTCTGAGCTCCCCACCCTCATGGGACCTCTTCTCTGAATAAGTCCTTGTACTTTGCTCCTCTCCTTTCTCATGCCAAAGACAAGATGAAGGAAGGCCCATGACGGTCCCTGACCCAAGTGCAGCCGTGTCCCTAGCGTATGGTAGGAACTCACTAAATACGTAAAATAAAGTAAATGTAAGTCCTAGGTACTCATAAGACTTAAAAACAAACAAACCCCAGCAACAACAAAATTCCTTATCCTCATGGAGCTGCCATTCTAGTACATAAAATAATAAGAGCTCATAAAAAAGTATCTTATCTTCAAGATGAATTTTTATCATCCATCAAATAGCTGGAATTGTTCAAGATATATACAAACAGAAGTCTAACTTCAAATTAGACAATGGAAATGAGAGAACAACAAATATATCAGGGAGCAGGGGTCTGAAGGACTCTAGTTAGAGTTGCAGCCTCACCCATGTATTAGCAATGTGACCTTGGGCAGAGTCCCTCAGATGTCTATTCTGAAGGGGGGGGAGGCGCGGTGCAAATCCTGACAGGGACCTCAGAATTACAGAAAATGTATATCAAGAACACAGCCCAGTGTCTGGTACCTTCTGGGACACTCATTATATAGAAGTTATTATTATGAAATTATTGTCAACTCAGGTCAAGAAAGGACCGTGGAAGGTGAGATAAAGAACAGTTTATCTACTCATGAAAAACAGACACAGGGTGTATTTATAGCCCTTGTCAGTTACATAGGAGATGGCGAGAAAAAAAAAAAGCAGTTGCCACTGTTGTTGGTTATTGTTGTCTAGTTACTGTTATTGACCGCCAACTTGGTCCCTTCATACAGGCAGCCTCAAACTTAG